CAATTCCTTGCGCTGTCATCAAGTGGAGTGGTGGCCGCATATAGGAATCCACTCCCTTGTAGAGGTATGTACGAGGACCCAAATGTAACTGAACCGACGGGCAAGACGCTGGACTGACAATACGCGGATGATAATAATACAACACAAAGTACAGAGCCATGGACGGACCCAGTACCTATCATACAACAAGGAGGAAGAGCGCAACAACGAGTTTTGGAAAAACCGCCATCCCAGGCAATATTCATGTTCATTAGAAGAGCTTCTCCGACACCGCATCCCCAGTCTTGCTGGCCTTGACCTTCTCGGCCCTGACCACCTTGACCTTCTCGCCGCCCGTCGGCACCTTGAAGTACAAACTGGGCGACTCGCCAGGCGCGAGCTGGTGGCTGAGGTAACCCCTATGCGCCGGGTCTCTGTAGTACTCGATATCCCAACGGCTGGTCGGGTCCGGCAGCCGGTAGTACTTCTTCTTGAGCGACCGCGCCTGCGCCAGGATCTCCTCCACGTGCTCCTTGCCCACCGGCAGCGGCTTGTCGGTGTGGATAGACTTGCCCTGTACCAGGCGCTTAATGGACTCCTTGGTGTAGAATCGGGTGACGATCTTGCCGCCGGCGGCCTCGATGGCCTCGATGGCCGAACCGGACGCGCGCGAAACGGTGATGGTGATGGGGATCTTGAAACCCTCCTTGCCGCGGCCGAGGAGCTTGATGCCGTCCTTGATGCTGCTGCCGATGATTCCGGACTTGATGATCTCCTTGGGGGTGATAGGCTTCGTGGGGTCGATACGGCCGGCTTCGATCCATTCGTGGAGCTTGTCGAGGTTAAGCTCGGACATGTCGGCAGCGAACCTATTATAGACACAAGTGGTTAGTCTCTATTAAGTATTTGGTAGGTATAGCTCGTATCGGACAACTTGTTGGAGAGTTGTTGGACATGGCGCATAGCGGGAGGGTATGGAGTTTGGGACGGCGTACTGGTTAACGAAACCCTTGCGGCCGTGAGAGACGATCAAGGGCGTCTGACCACCCTGAAACCATGGCTTGACGTGGCCATGGGCCTTCTGACCATTCATACCACGACCGGCAGTCTTGCCATAGCCGGACGAGGGACCACGACCCTTGCGAATGCGCTTGTGGTAGGCGCCCCGGTTGTCGGACAGGCTGGCGAGGATGGATGCGCTTCTGGTCTGGACGGAGAGGGCAGCAAAGAGGGAAATGAGGGACGACGTCGGCGACGAGGCAGGTACTGAAGGGCGTGCTGCTGTGAGGGAGGCCTGGCAGCATCGCGCCGCCTGGGCGAGCGGTAACCTGGGAGGCATGGCGGAGGCGGAGGACGGGAGTGGGTTGGCTCTGGGTCGGGCAGTCTTCCGGATTCCGTTCCTCACGGCAACGGCACTTCCCCGAAAACAAAAGTTCAGGACCCGCGCCCAGCCAAATTCCGACCGCCTGCCGTCGCGGGGGTGGACCGTGCGTCCTCGTTGGTCAATCGCGGCAGCGCGGATGGGCGGCTGAGTCAGTAAGGTGTTCCACATCCGACGTCCATCGCCAAGAGACGGTGATGCTCCAAAATATCCATGGTCGATATCACTTACACGGGATATGCAAGAGTATGTCAACAGGTTAGTGTAGTGGAAGTGCCTAAAAGGCAGGTTGTTACTGCTGGATTTTATGGGGCATCTCGACGGTCAATTCCTGAGATTTTACTCACAAACACGAAGGACTATTTTTTGAGTGTCCCATGGCGACTTGAGGTGCTCCGAGAAAATATTGTGTAGGCGCAATGTTGTGATGCTCACAGTATTGCCTTCAATAGCAACGTTATACTGAGAGCCATGTACATTAGCTACTCGCAGACAATGGTAGATGAATCCCATATGCAAAATACGTCTATACTACACGGAATGATAGTGTGGGACGCCTGGAAGTTTGGTCAACTTTAGGTGTCAACCGAGATGGAGATTTTCGAGAACGTTGAGAACGGTAGGACTACATAAATCCTGGACTGGTTTTTTTCGTGATTAGAATCATTAAAGAGTCGCCATGTCTGATTTAGACGTGTAATTTTGACCCCATGTTCGCTGCTACCTCTAGAAATGATGTTGACCGCAAAACAGGTCGAGGTACAGTGTGAGATTGCATTGCAGGACAGTCATGATCGAGTCTTATTGAAGGTTCCAAGTCAACCAGAGCAGCGCTGCTTCAAGATGACCGTTTCTCAAAGCTTTCCCTAACTTCCAAGTCATTCCCATCTCCCAAGCCCAGACTGCGTTGCCAAGTGCCTGCCACCGCTCCTACCGGCAACCGGCTGGCACGCCTTTCCCCAAACATCAGACGACAAGACTCTTCCCGTTCGCCCCAAGCCTGCTGCAGCCTGCAGGCACCATATAAGGTCCCTTATCTGACCCCTCTACCACAACGGGGAGCCCTGTGGTCTCATGGCGCAGTGGTTACCGTTGATGAATAACTTAGCGCGGCGGTTTTCGTAGGTCTGCAGCTGGGGTATTGTCGTTCGTTCTACAAACCTACCTGGGCGACTGAGCTTTTTGCTTTTTTTATTCAATTGGGGAATGCCTCAGGATCCCAAGGATGTGGTCTTTGCATTTTTCCTTTGCGTGTTGGGGTTGATAAATGGGTTTGTTTTGCGCGGGGGGAAAGATGGAAGTGGTGATGTTTGTAGTGCGACCGTGATCCTTCTTTACAAATTAGGGTTCACTATAAGGAGCACCTTCTTTACATCGCAGCAACTGGGGTGGCTTGACAGCGATCTGAACGTGAGGATTTCTCTTTCATTTGACGCTTCAGACGTTTACTGTTTGTTCTTTGATCTTGATTCATGTATTCAAACGTCGTTGTGTTGATGGATTCTCATGATATCCAAATACCATCAATATCTCATCTGACTGCCTTTCTGACGCCAACCATCTATGCAACTCGCGTTTTTTGTTCGGTGAGTGAGGTGCGACGTGCTTCCCTTGACATCTACCGAGCTTTCTCAGCAACTGTCAGAAGTTCACCGGATCACATCAACAACATGTAGATCGCCATCAATTGTTCTTGTCGGCTTTATACCTGGGACCCAACTTCCTCTTCTCGCTACAGCACATTTGATCTCCTTTTTGTTTTGCTTGATCTGAACATGAAGCGGCCCAGCTTTGGCAATGTTCCCAACTTCGTGCGGGTTGGGATTTGTGTTGTCTCCAGGAGTTTGGCATGTCGCAAGCTCTTGGCACCAGCTCTGTTCTGAGGGTTTGCGAAAAAGAAGCATGTGCTTTTCTTTACCCCAACGTGTTGTCCCCTTTCTTCCAGCAGATCATTCATCGATGATTTCGAAATGGGAATCGCGCAGGTGACTTCCCATGCTCGCCTGCCACCAGCTGACTCCTTGACCCGAGCTTTCTCCCACCACCGGCCGGCATGCGCACTCCCCGCCCCTTCTTGCTGCCAGCCGGAATCCCTTCATCCCATCTCCTCCCGCGCCACCAGCAGGCCCCAAACCTGCCCTAACCCCTCTTCGATTGGGGTTTATAGGTGCGCTTTCCCGGACCAACAGTCATCACATCCAGCGGCGGCCACATGGTGCAACGGTCGGGGTCAATGCCCCTTCCCTTGTCACTGCGTGAGCTCGTGGGTTCGATTCCCAACGGGGTTGGCAATGTCTTGCCAGACTCACCGGTCCTTCGAGGAAGCCCAGACACAGCACCACCGCAAAGTAGACACACTGGCAACCTCATGGTAGCGAGCTGCTCTTTCATGTCCCATGGATTGAGATCCTCATCGGAGCCCCTTAGGGGAGCTTTGGGGAGCGCAGCAACTGATTCGTATAACTGTGGGCTTTCGGGAATATTGGCTCAACTCGCGCCTCCGACCCCGTGGTCACGGATTAGAATTGTGTGGATCGTCGCATCCTTTTTTTTGCGATTATTTCTTTTTTTGGTGGTGATTGAAGATTCGCTTTTGCATCCATGTCGTCGCTGGAATATCGTGGCGCCCAAAACACCTGCACTCAGCACCGACGCTGGAGAGGACGGAGTCAGGGAGTTAGATGAAGGAAGATATTCTCGATCTATGAGCGGAGCCCCAAGTTCAGTCAAGAAGCTGCTTCTGTGACACTTTTTGCTCTTACCATGTTGTGATGATGGGCATCTGCGACATTGAATTCGGACAACCTCCGGACCACACCAACGAGGATCTGAGATGATCTGAACATAGGCGTCGGAGAGGCAGGTGTGCATCGTATGGATAAAAGCCCACTGCATCAACAGCGAAAGGTGCAACATCCAAGAATGCGACGGATGTCGTTATGATAAGCAACGAACATCACGAACATTCCCGCCGTCAAAGGAGAAGTAAAGTTGGAAGTTTGCCGTCGGAGCGGATAGAGGTATCAACTCCACCCTGGACCCAGAGGCCGGGACCGGGCCGCGCCGTTGAGCCACTCCACCTCGGCGCTTAAGGCGCTAAAATATCCACACCTCCTTGTGAGAAGGAACGCTGGAAGGTGAACCTCTTCTACAAGAAGTTGCAACTTCCACCTTGCACTTGCCCTTGCCCTTGCACTCGGACTTCTTGGGCGTTATGGCAATCACGGGGCGGGATTTGGCACTGACGACCTCCTTGAGGGGAAGTCGTAGCCGGCCTTGTTCGATGTTGCTGTATTCTTCCAGACTTTGCAAATCATTCTCCCTCTTGCTCATTAGCTCAATCTTTCTTCCGTTCAATCTCTCTCCAGTTACACTATCCAACCATCCCCAACTTACTATTATTTGTTTGGCTCTTGGAGTCCCGAACCACCAACAACTAGCAGAACGAGTCCAAGGATAACAGTATCACTCCAAAGGTCCTCTCAAAACACAGTCATCGGCGCATCAGCTGAACCTCTTCGCTAATCTTTTCTAGACCTCTAGCTCATCATCTTACGATAACATCTCAAAATAGGCCCAACCTCCTTCGGATATTGTGTTCTATCCTCAACGGACGAGAATGTCATCCGATTCTTCACCAATGTCATCACCAGCCCTTGTCGGCGACGCCGACGCAAGGAACCGGTTGATGGAGAAGCGCAAGACTGAGTACTGGGTACATATTTGGACCTTTAGATATATGTTTTCCAGCTTCCAACATCACTTCGGGTTGGAAACCTCACAAAATCGAAGTCCAAAACTTGCTCTGGCCCACTGTGGTCAAAACCGTCACAACAAACGCTCGAGTTTCTATCTTCTCTTTCGTGCCTACCCCCACATACAAGAATCCGAGAATGAACACCAGTGGAAGTGGCGGTGCGTTGAGGTCCAAATCACCCCCGACCTGTTAAGTACTCTCAAATAGTAAAAACCTTGCTCTCCTAAGTTTGTACTGACGGCAAAACAGGGTTTCTCGTGCCCGGGTCGTGGAATAGAGCATCATCAACGATGACGCTCACTTGTTGTCCCATCGCCCGAACCAAGAAGACAAAGAACTGAGTCGCCAATTCGTGTTGCGAGAACTTCAAACTCAACTCGCCAATGCGGACCTGGATTGGATACTCCCTGTGCCCAATACCGAGACCATAACCCTTCACCATATCCTGGCCAGCGCTAGAGGCTCAAACAACGGTGTCGGTGATGTGAAGCAAAAGCTCGATCTCTCGAGCGTCCTTACGAGAGGCCTCTATCACTTTTACAAAACGGCCATGATGCCAAGGCCGTGGACAGAAGACACCATCGAATTCCTATTCGAGCGTCGGCAAGTGAACGGCGTATGGATCACGGCCATCTTTCCCGACCGCCCTATGATATCGGCGCTTGCAGATTCAGATCCTCCAGAAGACGATATATCAGCCCAGACCTCTCGCCTTGCTGCGCTAGAGGGTCCAATTCCTGAGATCAAAGCCTTGGGGGTAATCCTTCTGCAGATCTGGCTTCACATGCCCATGGCCCAGTTAAGCAGGCAGTGCCCCAAATTTTTTGAGAATGGCAATGTGACTAGGACGGGACAGTTGAATCTCTGCCACTCCTTGGACACCGGCATTCTTGGACACCTCCCCGCAGAACTGCGGCCCTTATGCAGGATCATTGAAAGATGCTTCGATGATGAGGTGTTTAAGCAGCACCCAAGCGACGAGATCTACGTTACCGGTGTTGGCTTAGCCATTTACGATCAGATCTTTGAGCCAATCGAAGAACTAGCGGAACAACTATCGCTTCATATTGGCGTGCTTCCATGTCCTTTCCGCCCAGGAGATGAAGACAGCAATTAGTACAAAAAAGCCCGTTAGTTCAACACTTCATTTGGCCTTGGGCAAGCGACCACCCAAGGGGAAGCGGGAAAGGGGAAGAAGCCTTTTATGAAAAGAAGAAGGATGAACAGCAGAGGAAAGTTGCCAAGGTCAGGGAAGCAGAGGAAGTTATGAAGAAGGAGAAGCTTAAGGAGCTTCCGTACTTCGAGATGTACATCTTGACTCATCGCCAGAGGGTACTCCACCACGGCATTCCACTAGGGCGCTTAAGCGCTACAGCGCATGTATGTATTTTAGCGAAAAAGAAATAGTCGGCATTTATTTTCACTTTGCAACTTCCTCCGATCCAGTGACTTGGCTGAACATCAGCCTCAACAATGTCGCTCGTAGAAAGATACCATCCGAGATTTTATGCGACACTACCACTAATTTTTTCGCCTAGTACAGGACCTCAGCATCGGCCAACCTCAGAACTCGGCCTCGTTTCGTGATGACCAGTCTGTATGCCGGCCATGAGGTCCATCACAAAAGCAAGACAATCCAGCCCTAAGAGGATAGGCTCCGGAATTTCTGTTTATTCTAAAACACGCGATCAGGTTAATACTTCGCAACGGATCTCGACTTCCCTTGGGGAGGATGGGAAACTGCAATGGGAGGTTAGAAAGAGAGGTGGATGGTGGATGTAACGCTGGTACCGAGAGTTTGGTAAACATACCCCTATTGCTACGTTTGGTGTTTCTGCATTGGCGGCTATGCGCTCAGGCGCTGTACCCTTGATCATTGGCCTGGAGATCGGCCGTTTTGGCGCGGCAGTGTGGCTAAGGATAGCATTTGATTAGCCGCCAATGCTAGGGGACCAGGGGAGGCCATTGGCAAACCACCATGGAGTGGACTCCATCGCCATGTTCGACCGAGATGTTTGCGTTGTATAAGATATTCGACGTTGCCAACCTTCATGTTTCTTTGTTCTAGGTAAGCACCATCATTGTATCAATCCTTGTATCATTATCCCCAAGTTCCTCTCACTCACAATGGACAACGAAGCCTGGCTCCCTCTCAAGCAATCCCACTACCCACCACCATCCATTCCATCCATGAAAACAGGCCATCCAACCGGTCCCATCTCCCCAGGCCACATCATCCCCGATCTCCGACATCTCGACAACGTCATCAACTGCAATGGCTTCGAACCATTCCCCCAGGGCATGGACATCATGACCGCCACCCTCGAACAAAGCACCTTCAAGAACGGCATCAATACCGAGATAATCCTCCAAGCTAAAGCCGAGGCACCAATAGCGGGTATGATTCCCGGTGTGGACGCTAGTGCTGGCGCTGGGACGAATTACACCAACATAGTGAGTGACAGTTGGGAGTATGGGCGTTTGGAAGAGTACGTGGTGCAGCCTACAAGACAGTATATCCAGCGGTGTCTAGAGTCAAAGGAAGTGGCGGGTTATATACAGAGGAGTAAGAAGCTGGGTGGTTGGAGCGTGTATATGATCACGGGGATCATGGTGGCGAGGGGAGGGGGGAAGAATGTGTTGAGTGAGGAGAAGGGGGTGGGGTTGTTTGGGAATGTTAACTTGTGAGTTCTTGTGCCCCTTTTTATGGGATTTGTTTCGTGGTAATGGGCGGTACTAATGTGGGATAAAACGAGCAGTGACGTTCCGGGCATCGGGCAGTTCGCGCCAGAAGTCGGATGGGATAAGAAGACCAAGTCGACGGTGAATGGTCACCATACGGCGGACTTTGTGTGCGCTATTCGGTTGGTGAAGATCACGAAGAGTGGGTTGAGGTCAAGTTGGACGATGAAGACGGTGACCAGGAAGTAGTGTTTCCTTGCACTGGAAGGTCGAGCTATGGGAGTAACCAGAGGAGGAAAGGGCGGATGTACCTATGCGTCTCTGTGGAAGTGGGAGTTTTCGGTTTCGTGTGGATGATTCTAATGAGCAAAAAAGCCAACGCAGAACTTTACAACGCTTTGTAAATGACGGGAAAATGCCGAACTCGTCACAGCTCACTGGCACCCTTCTCTTCACGCTTATCGTTTGCTGTTACTCTTGGTTATTTTGTTATTCTTGTTTTATCTGAATCGATGCATTGATTCCTTCGGGTTGCTCCTTCCTGGCTGTCTTTGGCCTCGGCAAAGCCTGTAGGCAAGCTGAAGGAGGTTTTTGCGGAGGTTACTGTGTAAGTCAAATCCGAAAGTCCGAGAGTCCGAGTCCTGCAGAGTGCTTTTCTGGGAAGCACACATGCAATGCACTGGAGGCGATGCGCTAACGCGGATGCTTTTTGACTACAGGGAAGTTCCGCTTATCGTTGAGGGTGGACCGGAGGTTAAGCGGGAAAGAACGAGGCAGATGACTTTTGGTGGGAGTCAGAAGGATGACTTTGTTTGGGCTGTGAGGCTGGCTAAGATCACCAAGAACGCGTTGCAGTCGGATTGGAAGATGGAGACGGTGTTTAAGAAGGCTTCGTTTCGCGGGCAAAAGGCAATATTTTGAGAAGGGAGAGGGGACGGCATCTTCACTTGTACTTTGGTGGTGTGGATACCTGGGTTTACTGAACGAATAAACGTGAAAAGAACTTGCTCATCGTACCTTACTTACCTACTACCTCTACCTTCTGTCTTCAGGTGGACTGGAGATGGCTGTTGATGGCAGTCACGACCAAGGTCGAGATATCCTGCTCCATGCATAGGGAGGATTGTCGCCAGGCACTCGTCAATGTGCCAACTTCTCGGCCAAACCTCTTCCCCGACTCCCGTCCATTCCCATCACCAATGCAATTGGTTGGCCACGACTGCTGGTAATGCATCGGCTTCTCCGCGCCTGTCCTCTCCAGGTTCGTTGTTCAAAGATGATAGTCGCGGCGGCGTCACAATTCTAGCACGAATGCTCACTTGCTCCAAACGTTGGCCAAAAGTCGTACACTTCCTCATGTCCCCCCCTGGACCGTCGCCAGGATTTCCTGCAGTGGTCTGCATTTTGGTGACTTCTTGGATACTGCAGAGTGCGTCAAGCAGGGCAGCCTAGGACACCAAAAAAAGTATTTATTGCCGTTCAAAGTTCCAGTCTTTCAGTCATTCCTTCTTGTCTTTCTCACCAATAAACATTGTGATATTGGCATCCTCAAAGAAACATTCAACATGGTCCAACCTCCAGGTCTACGGTGTTACGCAACCCTCAATGTCAGTCCGTACGCAGACTCAAAAGCCCTCGTATCGGCGTATCGGCGTCTCGCTCTCCAGACACATCCCGACAAGAACAACAACACGGTGGAAGCAAATGAGAAGTTCAAGGAGGTAAGTTCCTCCCCAGATTATCTTCGTTTGGATTCCGTTCCTGAAGCCAGATTGCATAGCAGCTCAGCCACACTTTCGAATATCTGAATGATGACACCCGTCGAAAAGAATATGACCGAATAGTCGCAACCGCTTACGCTCAGCTCAATCGAGAACTGGCGGAATACTACAAGGAACTGCACGATGTAAGGCAGAAAATCCGCCAGTCAGAGACACTCCACATGAATTCGGGGACAAACGCTGGCTGGCACAACGGAATGCCAACATCTGACATGGACAAAGAGTCGCAACTTTTGAAGCGGATCGACCTAAAATACCAAGAACTGGTCCCTTTGAATGGCGAAATCAGACAAATCCCAGCCAATCCCGGGAAGACGCTGCCTACCGATCACCTTGGATCCGGCCTCGACTTTTGGCGCGCTTCTTCCCAATGCCAGGAGAAGCGGGCTGAACGTTTGCAGCAACAGGTCACCAATCAACAAAAGGCTCTTGGCATCAAAGAGACAGAAATTATGGGACTCAAGACACAGAACGAAAGGCTAAGGGAAAAGGTTTATAAACTTAGCCGAGAAAATGATTGTCAGAAGAAGCTTGTACGGGAAAAGACCGCTGTAGTGGACGCACTCAAGGAGCGCTCGAAAAATGTTCGGGAAGAGAAAGATCAGCTGTTGGAGTTGAACAGAAGGTTTAAGGAGGATATCGATGCGCTGAAAGAGGAGCGGGACCGACAACAGGCGGAATTCAAGAAATTGAAAGAAAAGGTGACAAGACTGGAAGTGGAGAGAGACACCGCGAGGAACATCCAGAAGGTCCGTGAAGAGCAGCAACAGTCCCAGGGAAAAATGGATGGTGCCGTCGGGCACAAGGATCACAGGCTTCAAGACGAAAACCACAGGCTGGGGCTTGGGAACCGGGAGCTGAAGAAAGACATTAGGGAATGGGAGAAAGTGGAGCGGGAGGAAGTAGAGCGGGAGGAAGTGAAGCGGGAATTGGAACGGGAAACTGACAAGAAAGCGACAGCCACCAGCAACACGAGATATGGGACCCTCCCAAGCAGAAGCAATACAAAGAGATCAAAATCTGGGAAAAGATACAGGTCGTCGGAGGAACCAGAGGACAGCACTACATTGGAAGGAGGCGACATCAGCAGTACGACTAAGCGCCCCCGAGCTGGTAAATGGTCGGACCCGGACGACTTGTTTACACCGTCGTTGAACATCCCCAGTAGTGAAGTACCCAGTGGGGGTCTGGTTTCGGTGAATAATGGCAGTGTCGCTGCCGGGTCCGTTGCAATCGTCCGGAAGGAAACAAGCCCAGAACCCAGATAGAATCGGTGGTGGGAGAGATGCGAAGAGCGGCGGATAGAGATGTTGAGGAGATCGATGGTGAACGTCAGGCGAGACAGTAGATACCATAGATGGGACGGAGTGTGATTCTGAACAGGAGCTTGTAGTCAGACAGTAGATATGCTTCGATAACATCATGACAAGAAGTCGCTATATCAGATCTTCACTCTCTGTCTTTCTTCTTGTTTCTCTCCCATTGAAGATACTTTGATCCATCTGCAAAACTGCTGTGGATTGGCGCCCTGCATTGTCGGTCGTCACTCTGCTTCTCAAATCCAATGAATAGAATGCAAGTGCGGCTTGAGTCGCGGCAGACGATGGGATCGACTCGCTTTGTTCCCGACAGGGTGAGCGCGGCAATGAGGGAGAGTTTTCCAGGGACGAGTTTTTGAGCCCGGATGAACTCACGAATTGCTCCTGCATATCGTAGATGATCGCCTGCACGATCTACCTTCTCCCATCGCGGCTGACCTAGCTGTTGCCTTCAAAATTCCCTCTTTCCTTATCTCGACTGGAAATGATGACAGAACCTTCATCATCATATATGGAAGGCACGACGCGAGAAGGTTATTCGTTAAAAGGGAATCAGCGGGACCGTTCCCCGAGGTTTTCGTTTTCTCCCCTCTTCAACAACTTTTATCATCCTCTCAGTCCTCAGACTCAGCCCAGCCCCAAACCTCCTTCGGGCGCTCGAAGCGACATTCACATTATCCGTCCACTGACGGTTTGTCAGTGTTCTTTGGATATCCCAGCATTTTCTTATACCGTTGGTCGGCGAGCGACACCAGCAAATTCTGCCAAACGACGTTTCGTCCCTCGGTGGAAAGCGTTTGATCACCCAAGTGCGGGCTCGAGATAACCGTCGACAATCCGCACGATACCGTGGCATCCAAGTCCCACGAACAGATCTTGCCTGATCACCGTCCTCACCACTGACAGCCAACAAGCTACACGGCAGTCTTCCTTCTACAAGTGAGTCGCTTTCCTGGAACAACCTGTGCTTGGTTAGCTGACACTTGAGCACGATGTAGGTCTCTGCCCCAGCTGTTCCAGCATACTTCAGTCCGTAGCCAACATGGAATCACCCAAGACCAAAGTATTCGACTGTTACGCAACGCTGGAGGTCAGCCCGTATGCGGACACGAAGACCATCCAGAAAGCCTACCATCGACTCGCTCTCGAGAGGCACCCTGACAAGAATGGCAACAGCGCAGAAGCAACCGCAATGTTCCAGAAGGTTTGACACGGTAGCTTTGTCAATTGCAGCACGAAACCATTGCTAAGAGATGATATCTGACAGCTTGGGAACGCATACGAACTCTTGATCGACTCGTCCCGTCGCAAGGAGTACGATTTCAGCACCGAGCAGGAGTACCTCCGGACGCAGGAAAAAATGATTGAGGTACAAAAGGCGTTGAGAAACAAGCCTCATGGTGTGGCAGCGGCAGACCCAAAGTTTTTGGCCAACCACGAAACCTGGACTCGACTCGCTCAAACCATGGCTGGTTTAGTGCGGGAGCTCAAAACCATTCCGGATGGGCGTGGTCTGAACATCGACTGGGAAAAGCGTGAGCAACAACACCAGAGAGAATTTTATGAACTGCGCCAAAGTTATCAAACCCTCCAGAGTCTTCTCGAGTTCAGGTTCAATCAAATTCAGGATCTGAAGAGTGAGCTTGTGCAGGAGAGAAAGAAGAACCTTCACAACAAGCTCACGGCCTACATTCATGTTGATCGGTTACGAAGGGCTCTCGGCACTCTGGACGACGAACTCAAGTCTTTCCGCGATTTCGCCTCTCTGAGTCTGAGCGCTACCGATGAATCTATCAAGGTAAAGCATGCCTACGCCAAGTGCAGGAAAGTGATTTAGGACGATCAATGCGGCTATTGTCGCGACTGTTAAGCTAACATTTGTGAACCCTTTAGAAGGAACCAAGCCAGTAGAAGGAAGCAAAACCGGGCCGACCATTTCTGATGGTCATGGTGGTGAATCAACAGAGGGAAAGGACGAGGAAATGCCCTTGATCTGAGCAGCTTGACAAGGCGGTGCCCTCTCTTCTTGGGTTGTGCAGTTTGAGCATGAGGAAACCATGGCTGATTTTTGTTGGGCCATGATCTCAGAGGTACCAGGCGGAAGACGAATCTCGTTCAGGGGCAAAGTAAACAAAGTTGGGTGAGACATGGCGTGTGTTAGCAGGGGAGAAACAATCTTTTGTTCGTATGTTTGAGTTTATCTGTTTTCGGTACCTTTTAGGTTCATAGCGAAACAACCGACCAGCGGTTCACCAAGCAGTCTTTCGTCGAACCGGAAATGTGAAGACCGCTATGCATGATCCAAGAACGCAAAACGTTGCTTTTTGAACCCGGATCGATTCGGTTTTGTCGAGGCGTACCAAGCAGATCGATCACTGCCTTTGTGATATGAGACCTATCGCCGCCTGTCGTCGAAGAAGCATCGGAAGACGGCGACGGGGCCTAAGACCGGGAGCGGATGCCGGGATGCCCGCCGCCATTGCGTCGGAGAGATTCTTCCCAGCCTGCGAGCAAGGGAGAGCACAGGATCTTCAACTGCGAGAGGGGGAAAGAGTCCGAGTCATGTAGTAGTTTTTCGCGCGTAAGAAGGAAGCTTGAGGAAGGAGCAAAAGAGAAAAGAGAAACGACAATTGGTGCTAGGAAGGTTGGAAAACGCCCGGTGCGTGAAACTTGGCCAATGAATTTGTTGTGTTGAAGGTGTTGAGGCAAGAGATGATGAGCGAGCGATGAGGCCCTGTAGCGGCGGTGTCGTGGTGCGGATGCGGTACGACGCTGGAGCACTGGGGAACAGTGGTCGGGTATTTGGATGGTAAAGCTCCACTCCAATGTCTGTGCGCTTTCGATAGCTGCTGAGACGAGCGCCAAAAGGCGCCAAGCTTTGCGTCTCAGATACCCGATGTGGCCCAAGCGGTCACAGCGGTCGCAGAACCACGGGCACCACCACTCCGGCTGCAGACGTCGAAGGGAACCAGCAGGTGTTCACGCGCGTCACGAAAACCGATCAAGCCACCATCTCAGAATCTCAGCATCTCAGTCTTCTTTTCTTTTCTGCTGTGCGCCGGCTGGATGGAAGATGTCGACATCACAAGGCGGCGTTTCTGGAGGTCTGTTGGTGACCCAGTTTTCGCCGCCGACCAATCGAAATAGAATCGGGTACGTTATTTCTATCACCAACGACTAAGACTGATGGGGGCTCAGATGGAGTGCTGCTGATGGATTCCTAATCGAGTGCTGAACCGCTGGATGATACCTCTTGAAGCTCTAGCGGTTTCCGCTGAACTCTGGTGGTCTCTAGTGACCCGGGCCCTAGTGAAGCCGGAGTGCGACGGTGATTCCGCAACCAAGGTATTGATGGATCCTATCACCTGGAACAGTTGGTCAAAACACTTGACCAACACTTCTTTCTAGACCTCGAAACAGTCGAACTAAACGAAAGATAGAGGGAGGCTCGAGACCCCCAATTGTGCGGCTCAGCGGCTCAGACCCTAGAGGGCGGCCAGTAGGAGCATGGGGGCCAAGACTATCGCTAACTGAAAGCCTTTCAAAGCCTCAAAAAAGATGTGGAGTTTTGCGGTGAGAGCGATGTTACCTGTACCGCCTATGTGATCAGCGATATCACTGGCTAGCGGCCTTCTTTCCCTACTCAAACTGGCTGATAGTGGCTTCAGTATCCCTCTGATTGCAACATACTGTGCAAGTGTGCATTTGGGACTGTTTAAACAGAGATATCTGACCAACAACTTTCCACTGTGCTTTTGGTGGTCAAAGAGATTGTCGCTGACCAGAATCACCAGATAACTCCTCTGGGCGGCCGCTCCATTCAGTAATATTGGGAATGGCCAGGAAAGTGAGGATGCGCACCGGGCCACACACCGGGGCCACCTGATACCGGACTAAATCGCGGTGAGTAAGTGATTGACTGGGAAATTCAGGATTCAGCATCAGGATGTTCAACCGATACCACAGTCAAGTCAGATAAGTCAGTCATCCGATGAGTGGTGGGATGAACAACGCCGCAGACGCCTTACGCTGCTGACCTGAATCCCAGATCCAAATCCCAGTCCTAGTTCCCAATACCCAAAACTGTCCAAAAGCCGAAAGCAAGAACCGAAGCGAACCAGAAGCAAGATGCGATTTTTCGATTTTTCGATTTTCCATGCTGTGCAATCCAATACGATGCGTCTGTCCGTCCACGGAACCTGGATGGACATGGGCAGTGCGAGATCGGGGTTATGTTGTGAACATCTGACAGGACCGGGGCAGTGGGGGACTGGACCCAACGAACGATCATAGATCATGCCTCTTCCCGTCATGTTCGTTCCAGTTGCCTTTCGCCTCGCTGCAGAGATTGTGATCATGAGATCCAGTCCAGCTACGACCCAGGATTAGCTTCCGAGTAGGTAGGCAGGATCTCGCAGAGTCGTACTCAGCGACTGGGGAACGGGGGATGCTGATAGTAGACCACTCGATACTCCCTTCTTCGAGAATGGAAAAAGGTAGTAACAAAAAACATTTTCAGCCGCACCGTCATTTACATTTCTTTTCCCCTGAACTGAATGGACCCCTGTTTCTCCCCCAAGGGACCCAATGGGTCCAATGGCTACGAATGGCAAAGGGGGAGGCGCTTACCACTGCAACCACTGCACCATCTCTGCACAGCATCACTTGCACTTGCCTGCGTCTAGCTTGCGTCCGGCTTGCAGTCTTGCAGCCTTCACGGTGTGAAGAGTGGCTTGACTACACACCGTGATATCGGCAAGCTACAGGTCAGATCATGAGAAGGAAGAGATGGATCGCCGTTCACAGCTGTATCGAAGATACCTAGGGGCTTCCGTGTTCCATCCTTCATAGACAGGGCCTCCTATCACCCGCTCATCCGCGCTCGGGGGTCTCGGACTCAGGGTGCCAGGAGTGTCTATCCCCACGGGGCAGATGCAGGCACGGATAATGGCACCATGTCAACCCAAGTCAACAATAGATGTACTTCGAAACTCGAGATGTAGGTTACGGTAGGTGGCGCAACGAGGCATTGGATGTGCGTGCCTTTGTTGGGAGCTAAGTCGCCAATTCTGAGTAGATCCAGACGGTCGGGACCAACACGAGAGCGGATAGGATAGTGGTAGGATGTGGAAGCTTTCGTATTAGGGGTCTGACCGTCTGATGTCTGATCAGGTCGGTTGGTTTTAGAGACAAGAGGGTAATGTTGATAGGGGATTGGATTAGAATAGATCTTGGCCGTCAAGGTTCTAGGCTGTGGAGAGAGACACGATATGGCACAGTTGCCAGGAGGGTTCTCATCAAAGGATTGAGTGAGTGGGGACTTCATCCCAAGGCAGAAGTGGCTATTTTGTCGAGAAAGGACGATGGAGATAGAGATATTGGCTGGGATATAAAGAGACATGGCTCCGCACCTCGAGGATTGTCTTCCCCAGATTCTTCAAGACAAACAATATCTCGCCACAGAGCACAACATCCTACCCTGCTCTTTCCTACAGACATCCTGGTTGATACCTGCACCTCTTTCCGAGTTTCAAGCCGGCAACTATCCTCGACGTCATCATGAGAGTTGCTGTCATCGGAGGCGGTCCTTCCGGGCTCGTCACTCTCAAGTACCTCCTCACTGCACATCAGTTTCTCGGAGTTGAACCCATCGAGGCTCATCTCTTTGAAGGGGACGATGCCGTGGGAGGAACGTTTTACGCCAGGACCTATGAAGATGCTGAGGTATTCCCATTCCTTCCGCCTCAAGATGTTGCCTCCAGACACTGACCGTTCTTTCCTCAGCTGGTCTCATCAACTCAACTCACAACCTTTTCTGACTTCCGCGCCTCAAAGAACGATGGAGACTTCATGTCGGCCAAGCGATATGTCCAATATCTCAACGAGTATTGCACGCACTTTAACCTTTGGCCGAACATCCACCTGAACACCCGAGTCGATTCAGTGACAAGGACACTCAAAGGGAACAAACATGTCGTCACTTATACTTCCAAAACAACAGGAGAGACGACGTCTGAGTGGGAGTGCGATGCCATCGCCGTCTGCTCCGGCCTCCACGTCACCCCTCATATCCCCGACATCCCGGGTATCGAACATGTCCCGGTCAAGATGCACTCCTCCCAGTTCAAAGAAAAGAAACAGTTCGGTGTCGACAAGACGGTCATGATTCTCGGCAGTGGTGAGACCGGTTCGGACCTCTCCTGGATGGCAGTGACTTCACAGACCAAGCGAGTCGTCATGTGTCACCGAAGTGGCTTTCACTTCGCGCCCAAGGTTAGTTAGTAATGCCCCTGAACAATGGCTATTCAGCGCCACTTGCATACCAAAGAAACAAAGAAGCCCTGGAGCTGACAATGGAACAAACAAAACAAACAGAGAAACCTCAGCCCTGTTCTTTTCCGCATTCTGGGCCGCAAGTCCAGTGGTGAACTGACCGTCCCCTTAGACAACGCGCGTGCAAGCCTATTCGACACGGCCTACGTCCATCCCTTGCTTCGGAACCACACGGCGCTCTGGACGTTTTACAACGTTTACGTACGGACGTTCCTGTGGCTTAACACGGGTACCCCTGAGGGCTTGGATCAAGTTGTTGGAGAACCTGATCCGCACAAGAACCATGTTAGCCGAAGTATGTTGTTCCCCTATCAAACAAACAAACCCCCTCGCTGACCACCGTATACTAACTCACCGATAGTCTTCTTCAACAAATCCTCCAACGCCGCTCCCTACATCTCCTACCCCTACAAACACCTCCAACCCTCCCCCACCCCTCCCACCTTTCTTTCGAGGATCCGCTCCGCCCTCATCGGCTCCACCCTCAAAGACACGGGCGGCCGCTACATCGACCTGGCCCCCTGGCCCCAATCCATTTCTTCCCAGGGAATCGTCACCTTCCAAAATAACCACCGGCCCGAATGGGAGCGCATGCGTCAGCAGACCATCAAACCCGACATTGTCATTTTCTGCACGGGGTATAACCAGGAGTATCCCTTTTTCTCGGCCCATAACTCTTCCCTCGGTCGCAAGCACGGTAGTAAAGCAGCGAAGCGGCGGTACGCGGTCTCACACACAGAGCGAGATGTCCGCGGTATCTGGAACCGCAACGACCCTTCCGTGGGCTTCATCGGCTTCCTGCGCCCCAGTCTAGGCGCCATCCCGCCTCTGGCAGAAATGCAGGCCCAGCTGTGGATTCTGCAACTTCTCGCGCCGCATCGGATCCCGCGGCAACTAGACCCGAAAGATGAAGAGCATTACCGCTTGCATAACCCTGCTGATAGTCGAGTAAAATACGGTATTGATCACGAGAGTTATGTCTACCAGTTGGGACTGGATATGGATTCTGCTATGGGATTTTCGGAAATACTGAAGAGAGGACTTTGGGAGAGGGCATTATGGAAAAGGGGGGGAGATGCGTGGAAGAACGGCACAGGGTGGAAGTTACCGCTTGTTTGGGGGCTGGGAGCGAATTATAATGTCAAGTTTAGGATGAAGGGGCCGTGGAGGTGGGAGGGGGCGGAGGAGGTGATGGAGACGGAGTTGTGGATGATGATTAAGCGGAGGAGATGGTTTTGGGAGCACTTTTGTTTGAGTTTGTTGCCCATGATGATCTTTGGGCCGGTGAGTTTGGTGGTGTGGGGGTATGCTAGTGTGGTTGGGTTGTTGTTGGGGGTGGATTTCACGAGGCAGGAGAAGCAGGAAGGAATGAAGGGGGAGATGCCGGGGATGGGATCGAAGAAGGCGTTGGGAGGGGGGGTGGAGGGGAAGTGGATGAGGGAGAAGTTGCCGTTGGCGGAGCTGTAAGAGAGGAAAACCTGGAAGGATGTTGGTTGGGTTAGATGTCAAGGATGGAGTTACGGGATAGGAGTTGGGAGAATTGGCTTGGTTTGTGGATGAAGAACTTGCACATATCAAGTTGGGTATTTCTAGACGTCCAGAATATGCTTAAAGACTGCCGTTAGAGGTCTCAAGACGGTCAAGAGGAATGTTTTGCAGAGCTTTCGGATGGTGACTCCGTTCACTCGTCCAATATATGCTCGGTAACAGTAACATATCTGTGAAGACACACGTTGAGACTGTGGTGTGGTGATTTGACTTATAGGCTGAAACATGACATTATTCCCAGCTACCTGTTCGTCGGGAACTATACTGACGCCTTGGGAAGCCGAATTGCAGGTCGATGTTCGATAATCAGTGTCTGCTGACATTGTATCTTGATAAGGCCGATTACAGGCGGTTCAGCAGTCTGTGAAGCGTTCATCTGTTTTTTCACAGTCGGGATAAAATCCACGGGATAGTGGGGCCCGAAGTATAACATGCTATTCGTCCTTGACGACTTGGAGTCATGACGGTTGGACGAACACCTTGGCGTCAGGTTGACATCATAGAGGTGATTCTCCAACAGAGAAATGGGGAAAGCAACGAAGACATAGGAAGGTCACGATACTTTACCTGTCAATGTTAGGAAGATTCCTTACCAGAGCATCAACCCAACACCACGACAAGACCTACCGATCTTCTTGAGAAAATGCTTTCCCAAGGCCTTCGTCTTTCAGCCAACATCTTCAGACGAATCGTATCCGACATGGCGCACACAACACCCGGCATCTCCCTCTCGGCGACTTCCCAAATGCCCCAGGGCAAGCCACACTCAATCAACGAGTACACCTCGGTTAAGAAGCCACCCCATCTCGACCGTCTCACCTCCGCCACCCACCAAGAATCCGCCGTCGAGTCCGTAACCATCGACGTAGATGACGGCCCCGACGGTTTCGTCCCCGGCTTCCTGCACATGCCACCCAACTTCACCGCCCCCGACCCATTCCAAGAGCACCACCGCACCGCCGCCATCTTGCTTTCAGGAGCCGGCGGCGGCGTCACCGGCCCGTCGTCCATCTACCTCTCCCTCGCGTGCAAGCTCGCCACTCTCTCCTCGGGTATCCCGACTCTCAGACTCGACTACCGCTACCCCGCCCGCAACAAGCACTGCGTCGCCGACGTATACGCCGGCATGAAGTACCTGCAGGATTTATACGGTCTCGACCGGTTCGTGCTGGTGGGGTGGTCCTTCGGCGGCGCGCCGGTCTTTGCGGTGGCAGGGGCTGATCAGCGGGTGATCGGGTGCGCGACGGTCGCCAGTCAGACGGTGGAGGCGGATGGGATTCGCAAGTTGGCGCCGAGGCCGGTGTTGCTGCTTCATGGCACGGGAGACAGGACGTTAAGCCATGCGTGCTCGGAACGGTTGTATGCCATGTATGGCGATAAGGGAGAGAGGCAGCTGGAGCTGTTTGATGGGGATAATCATGCGTTGATGGGGAACGCGGGGACGGCGGAGGGGATGCTTTGTGAGTTCATTGCGAGGTGCGCGGGTGTTGAGGTGGATGAGGGGTTGAGGAGGGAAGTGGTCGAGACGGAGCTGATGAACGATGGAGAGAGGGAGGAGTTGATGCAGAGAGGAGGGGATCTTCGCGGGGCGGAGAGGAGTCAGTAGGTTGGTTGGTTGGTATGTTAGTGTTGTTATAGCTGTCGAGATCGTCGTACGCATAGAATTCAACCCAGGTTCCTATGTTGAAGGCATCGTGAATGTCGTCTTGCAGTCAGTGTTGATGTTTGGTTTTCAGAACCGGGAATATGTCCCGAGGATTGACCCGCCAAGATGCTGACATGGAAGCCGCTGACGATGCGGGGAAGAGGAGCCTGTGACCCGCCTGTGAGGGTCCTGAGAGGAGCCCGAAGAAGCGTAGCCGCGGGTGCAGGTCCGTCCCCACCCTTAACCGCCAACTACGCCGTGTGTGGAATAGTTCCCACGACAAGCCTTCCGAGACCACTACGGCAACGCCATCATCACACCCGGGACGCTCCCGAACCCCTCGCGGCACATGGATCGCCGGCGCCGCCATCACGCCGTCTGCTACCGACCACCACCGACCACCACCGGATCACCGGGCACTCTGGGAACGGGGAGAATCACGATAAAGAGTCCGCTATGGACGCCCACCATTTGCAACCATGAATTATACCCTTAATAAATTATACCATGTCATCGGAACAAGAAAACGTCGACGTCCTCATCTGCGGCTCCGGCTCAGCCGGTCTCTGCGCCGCCGTCTGGCTCGCCCGCTTCGGCATCAACTACAAGATCCTCGAACGCCGTGATGGTCCCCTCAAGATCGGCCAGGCCGATGGTGTCCAGACTCGTACCGTCGAGATCTTCGACAGCTTCGGCATGGGCGAGGATATGCTAAGGGAAGCCTATCATGTTCTCGAACTTGCTTTCTGGGCGCAAAATATCGAGGGCGGAAACAAGGACAACATCAAGAGGACACGCTATGCTCCCGACAAGGAGACCGAAATCAGCCACCAGCCACACGTCATCCTCAACCAAGCTCGTCTCAACGAGTTGATGATCGGCCAGCTCGGTTCCCAACCGCCCATCCAGTACAGCACCGAAGTCAAGGGCGTCCAAGTCGATGAGTCCGCCGACATCACCGACCTTTCCTCCTACCCTGTCCGCATCGACGCCGTCACAGCCGACGGCGTCCCCAAGACCTACCGCGCCAAGTACGTCCTCGGCTGCGACGGCGCCCACTCCGTCATCCGCAAGTCGCTCGGGTTCAAGATGGTCGGCGACAGCACCGACGCCGTCTGGGGCGTCATGGACATCTACCCGCGGACCAACTTCCCCGACATCCGCAAGAAGGCCGCCATCAACTCGTCCGTGGGTAACCTGCTCATCATCCCGCGTGAGGGCGACGCCATGGTGCGGTTCTACATTGAGCTGCCGGCGGGAACGAAGGCGAGTAGCGTCACGCTTGAAGACCTCCAGAATCACGCGAGATTGATCTTCCGTCCGTATGACATGGACTTCGCCGATACATTCTGGTGGTCCGCCTACGCAATCGGTCAGCGAAGAGCAGATTACTTCCACAAGAACCACCGCGTCTTCCTAACAGGCGACGCATGCCATACGCACTCGCCCAAGGCCGGGCAGGGCATGAACGTTAGTTTACAGGACGGCCACAACATTGGCTGGAAGCTGGGCATGATTCTTAAGGGACTGGGCAAGCCGAAGCCGCTGTTGGAGTCGTATGTGATTGAGCGCGAAAAAACGGCGACGGAGCTGATTGAGTTTGATAGAGGGTTCACGAAGCTGTTCAATTCCAAGTATAGGGAGGAGCATGGGATCAGCCAGGAGCAGTTTGCGGAGAAGTTTGTTCAGGCGGGGAGGTACACGGCTGGCCAGGCGATTCAGTACGATGCTTCGGGAGTGGTGGAGGTGGGGGAGAGGGATAAGAAGGTTGTGGGGAATGTGACGGTGGGAATGAGGTTTCCTAGTGCGCAGGTGGTGAGGTTTTGTGATGCCAAGGCTATGCAGTTGGTTAAGGGGCTGCCGGCGGATGGGCAGTGGTATTTGGTGGTGTTTGCGGGGGATATTTCGCAGGAGGAGAGTAAGGCGCGGGTTGAGAAGGTAGGTCATCTGCTGTCCTAACTTGGCTATGTTCATGACTAACACCATTCCAGGTCTCCAAAGCCCTCGACAACGTTGTCAAGCGTTTCACCCCCGCCGGCGCCTACCCAGACAGCGTCATTGACCGCGTGCTCGTCATCTCCGGTGACAGGAAGAAGGTCGAGCAGGATCAGATCCCAGAGTTATTCACTCCCGTAACAGGGAAGTGGCATCAGAAGTGTCTGTTCAAGGTGTATGCGGATGACGAGAGCTACAACTCTGGACATGGCCATGCCTATGAAGCCTATGGCATTGATCCAGCAAAGGGAGCGTTGGTCATTGTCAGGCCGGATCACTGTGAGTTTCGCCCCTTGATGGACTCTGGGGATGTCATACTGACGGTTGCAAACAGACGTAGCAAAGGTCTCCGCACTGGATGACAATCTTGAGCAGTCGACACAGAAGTTCTTTGAGGGCTTCTTGTCGCCAACGGCTTGAGTATGGGTGTCAACTTTTAAGCAAGTGGATGTAGGATACGGACGGAGCACGGAGTTGAGGTTCAACACTTGGGGTTATAAAGGTTTTCATCAAGCTAATCCAAAAGAGCATATTCATACAGATATCCGAATTGAAATACAAACAATAAGTACAAAGAACGAGTGTGTAAAAAGGAGACGTGAAGCAGAGAGAGCGCTGCAGGCTCAAACCATCCTCAGTCCCAGCCGGTTAACCAGCGTGAACGTGTGTGTGCGTGTGTGTGTGTGTGTGTGAAAGGAAAAACAGATTGGAAACCAAAGAAACAGCAGTCCAAGGCTTCCTTCTGATGGAACCATCTTCCTCCGACGAAGCAGGCCTAACATTTCTGCACCGTAATAAACACAGTCCACCTCTCGGAAAAGTAGACTTGTCCAGCAATGCGCGTCTGCCCACCAAAGTACTTGAAGCAAGCGCCCGTGAGGAAGTAAGCGGCTTCGGCGACGTTGCCCCAGGAATGGAGGCTGATGTCGTGGTTGTTCTGTTCTTCGTTAGCCACCTCCCATGTACATGAAGTCCGAATAGGGGAAAGATAGGTATTCACATCATTACAAACAAAAATCGCCGAATTCCAACTACAGCTAACCCGACTGCACTTATTCGCCCCCAGCCTCGGCGTCCCGCCCAATCCGTAAAGGTAACCCTCTCCATCATGGATGGCGCTCACGCTGGCCCACGTCCGAGGCGCCCCGCAGTAGTGCGAATGGTAGGTGTAGGGCCCGTTGTACTTGGCTTGGCCCCGGTCGGGCGTGGCGCCGTTGTAGTCCGAGGGGGAGGGGTTGCGGCTGTTTAGGACGGCGGGGAGGGTGGTGTTGTAGGGGTCGAAGTCCGGGGGGAAGGAGGAAGGGATGGAGGTGAGGTCATCAGAGGAGGAGGAGGAGGAGGAGTCGGCGAGGGCGTTGGCTTCTTCGAGACGCGCGAGGATAAGCTCTTCGTCGTCGGAGAAGTTGCTGGGGGCCTGCATGAGGGTGGGTTAGTGGGTTGGGTTGTTTGGTGGTTGAGGTAAGGGAAGGGGAGAGGGAGGAGGGGAGTGGAGGGAGGAGGAGAAAGGGAAGGGGAGAGGGAGGGAGGCAGGGTGATGGTGGGAGAGTGATGGTGGGAGAGTGAAGAGATGGCTGGGATGGTGATCATGGTGACGGATAAGAGGAGAATAGGTACTTACAGCTGTGGCGGTCGCCAGCAGGACCGTGAGAGGCAGGAGGAACTTGGTGAGAAGCATCGTGTTTGGTCTTGTCTTGTTGGGATTGATTGACTGAGGTTGACTGTAAAAGAGAGTGAGTGGTTGATATCTGTCGACAGAAGTTGCGAGGACTTGATTCGAAGAAAAGGAGAGAAAAATATCGGCGTCGTCAGACCGGGGGTAACCAGACAAGCGTCGCTCTTTTATATCTCCTTCAGTCTCCTTGAGTCCATTGTCCAGTTCTACTCTCTCCTTCAAGATCACCGGACAGCGACGCCTTTAAAGCCCACGACCACTTATGCTTCAATCACCTCACCACAACGCCGAGAGATATTCCCCTTTGCAAAACAGGAATGTCCAACATACCCCTGACCAATTTTAGCCTCCGAGATGGTTGAGCATCGAGGTCAAAGACAAAGAAACATCCACCTCGTGGTTCCCGGTGGCTCACCACCGAGGGAACGTAAACAAAGCGCCACAGGGGGTTCAACGGTTGTGAATAGGGCTGAATAGGCTCTTTAATGCGTATTGTTCTCTTGTGGGGGAGTGATGCGTGGATCTTGCCTCCGTGGGCCTCCGTGGGCCTCCGTGGGTGGGTAATTCATCTGGGCCACATTTCTTCGAGTTCCTGCTATCCTTGTGAGAGGTGAGACTCGTGAACAATGTTCGATTGAATGGTATTCAGGCCTCGGGAGCATTGATTGAGAGGGACTTGGCGAAAGGATCATAGAGGTAATGACGGATTCGTGGGAAACCTGCGGCAGTTCGGCACTCGAGGCCTCATTGTGGCCTCCGGGAGGAATGAGAGATGTAGTATCAGGACCATCACGGTAGTCTCCGGGTTCCGTGGGATACGGCTCGGGGCTTGGCTCCGGTGTTTGGCCGGGGAGAAGAAAGAGAGGACCGAAGATCCGGGGATATCGGATACGGTCGAGTCTAGTGATGCTGGTTTCTCGGGTAGTGACCGCCGGGTAGCTTCTATATAAACTCCGAGCAGCTGATAATTCTGTAGATCTACCCGGAGAATGACCAGCATAAATATCTACTCGAAACCATGAATAGGATATTGAATAGCCGGTAACTTCCGAGGCTTGCTGGCATCTGTAGCTTGCTCAACTGCATGGACCCTGAATTGCTGGTCAAGCGACATCATAGGCAGTGTTTACTGATCCGGTGGTGTTTGATAGCATTTTGACTGCTGGCTCCTATCTGCTCAACAGCCTTTTGCCTTTTTTTCTTTTTTTCTTTTCCATTTCATATTCCTCCTCTCTGACTTCAACATTTCATCCATTTCCCACTCGCTTTCCTTCCCATCAAATATTGCAAAGTCAAATTCTTTTGTTTCCTCGACCGCAAACATGTATCGAGTGCGACGGGTCAAACATTGACCAGTTTCGAGCCAGTGTCCCTTCGCTTGACAACCCATCCATCACGATGCTTCGTAAAGGCCAGAAACCGCCAACGGACAAGCTGCCGGTTTCCCCGGATTCGCAGCGACATGTGCATCTCAGTCTCATCAACAGAATGCTCTCGCCGCCCAAATCATTAGTTCTCACTCAATAGCACTTCATCTGCGAGTAAGACGGAGCTTCCGACCATGTCATTCTTCGGTTGTGGTGTTGGTGTGGCAGGGATGACACCGAGGTTCCTGGCGATCGAATTGGATCCCAGGCGCTGGAACGGATCCGGTAACACGCCCGCCCAGCCTTCCACTTTTAGCGGGTGCTACCTTACTGTAGGTAGCGGGCGATGGGTGTACCACATTCCACCACAACGTCATCGAGACTTCTTTCTTTCCGTTGCTGGTCGGGTAGTAACATCAATCAGCTGATGTGGGATGCGATGAAAATAAAGTCTCGGACCGTTGATACTTAACCCAAAAGTTATCTCAATTGTTTATCAAGATTTTGTGTGGTGAAGCGACAACACCAACAAAATGGCGACCACCACAGATCACCCCAAGATAACGCTCTACTGGCATGCCCGCCTAAATCCTCTGGCAATGCGATAGCTCACTAACACTTTCTGCTACAGGCTCAATGACTCCCGCGCGCAGCGCATGGTCTGGCTCCTCGAGGAACTCGGCGTCCCCTACGACGTCAAGATCTTCCATCGCAGCAAGGACATGCTCGCGCCCGCCGAGCTGGACAAGGTCCATCCGCTAGGCAAATCGCCCATCGTTACCGTCCAGCCTTCTGAGCCCGGCGCAAAGGAGATTGTCCTGGCCGAGAGTCCCTTCATTGCGCAGTACCTGTGCGATCACTTTGGGAAGGATACGAGTCTGGTACCGAAAAAGTACAAGGATGGTGAGGAAGGAAAGTTGGGTGGTGAGACGGAGGAGTGGATGAGATATCAGCATTTGTTGTACTATTCCGAGGGGAGCTTGATGCCGCCTTTGCTTGTGGCTTTGATTCTTTCTAGTGAGTCCTGTTTTTTACCCTTCTCTCAATGTGGAAAAAAGAGCTAACAAACACAGTCATCTCCGGCCCCAAAATCCCCTTCTTCATCCGCCCCATCACCTCCACCGTCGCCGGCAAGGTGCACAACTCCTTCGTCGTCCCCAACATCGAGAAACACTGCGCCTTTCTCCAGCAGCAACTGGAAACATGGCCAAACGGCGGCAAGTATCTCTGCGGCGACAAGTTGACGGCGGCGGATATTCTGATCAGCTTTCCGCTGCTGAACTTGCCGAGGGCGGAGGCTCTCGGAGGGGAGGGTGCAAAGGGAAAACTGAACGAGAAGTTCCCCAAGGTGTTTGAGTATGTCGCGAGACTGGAGGAGGAGGAAGGGTATAAGAGGGCGGAGAAGAAGATTGAGGAGTTGGAGGCTAAGTAAGGAGAAGGAGACATCGCGTGGACTGGTTTGGTAGTCCTTCGGGAGCATCCATGGGTATGGGGCCGGGAATAAGTGGGACCCGCAGCGCCAGATTAGTGGGGCCGCTCCGGGAAGATGTCCGGATCAGGGTCGGACCGTTCCGCGAGGTCGATTCTTGAGTTGCCGCTCACCTATATGATGATGATGTAATTCACAGCTGTTGATGATTTAAATATAATTCCGGCCAAACCTGATGCGGCCAATATTTTAGTGAGGCTATATGGTGGTCCCAATCGGCGTGGCGTGCACGTTCGTGACCCGGCCCCCGTAACGGGCCCGGGGCGATGCGCAGCATGCGGCCTTTCTGTGACCAACCCTTTCTGTGATATTGTTTCCTCTTCAGTTATCTTCATGTGTTTTCTCGGTGTCGTGAATGCCAAAGTCAACATCAGTGGCAACGCTCAGTTAAACCCTAACCCGCTGCCCGTAGCTGCGCAAATGTCTGTGATTTGGGGCATGACCTGGTTCTTTTGGGCGCGGGTCGTTCTTTCTCGCAACATCAATGCATGGCGGGGTAAATCAGTTCTCACCACGACCATCATTCCTTCCTCTCACAGAAAGTTCCGATTCCTTGTGTCAGATTTTTCATGCCCTAACCGTTCTTTCACTTGTGCCAATTTCGCGACACATCCAATTGCGCCCTTCCAAAGCTCACCTCACTTCACTCCTCTTGAGGTCACCATTTCCACAGCCAGAATCGTCAAGGGTTGAATGACTGTCGAACATGGTACGAACCCCCCCCCCCCGGTAAAAACTCCAGCGTCCCACGTTAACAACAATAACACAGTCGCCGAATCATGGCCGCCAACCGCATGTGTGGTGATGTCCCAAAAGAGGCCATCCAGAGTGGCCTCTCGAGGCCTGCGGCGTGCAAGTCCCGACGCGGTGGTCGGGTCGCCATAACGGGCCTGCGGCAGAGCGCAGCATGCTACCTTTTTCCTCCACTAATCAACGTCCATGATTCACAAGGCTGCCTTTCCATTTCGACAGACAGTCCTTCTCTCAGTTTGCCTAATTCATTTCACTGATTGTGCTCCATGCCCGTTGATCGTCGCGTCCCTCCCGTGTCTCTCACGGGCTCACCGGTTCTGCTACACGTCCTTCGAGGCACAGCAGCCGTCCAACGCCGCAATCATCAGGCGATACCCGCATGCCAAACATGGGCACAGATACCGGCCCCAAGCGCCCGAGACAATGGTCAAACGTTTGTTGGCCACCGCTTTTCTTAATCCGCTGGAGGGAGATGGGGAAGGCTAACGACGTTCGGTAGGGCAGATAAGTGTATCCGAAACACCCTTGGTGGCTTGACTGCTATGTATCACCCTAGTGGACGAGCTTGCATGTATCATCACTCATTGCGAGAGATATAATGACTCCTAAGGCGATTGCAATATGGAGCTAGTACCACAAAGGTGCCAACATCCGTCTGTCACTACCCATACCTTGTTTATATGGGGCTTTATCAAGTCTTACAAGGAGTCTTTTCTGCACACTGACGGACAAGTGCTGGAGATTATGCGCCCGGAGTCTGACAAAACCTTGCCGGAGAACAGGCAGTTCTTTCGGTTACTCGTAACCTGACACCACTTCCTTCCTGCCGTATTCTTCCGCGCCATGGTTGTATCTTCTTCGGCTACCGACTGTGTGGGTGCACGTCTACGGAGGCGGCAAGGCGGAGAAGTCGAATGACAAAAAGTATGAGTACCTCCAAGACGTTCCTATCCCAAGCTTTAGGTTCGTACCACCGAGCCGCTTCCGGTGCAAGGTTACACATCGGGTGGTCTGACAACGTTGACAGGTTGCCTGTTGATTATCTCTTCGCAAAGCAGCCAACGGGACATGTCGGAGTTGTCAAAGTGTGATACAATCCAAACTTTCACAAGTTCAAGGCTTTTCATCCATACGCCCTGCTAATGGGGCGGTATCAAGATGGTGCAAGTTTACTGTCACGACTTGCTATGCAAGAAACGTCAAGGTCGAACAAGTGCTTGGCCGGCTGCGGTGTTATTCAACAACAAAGTTTCATGTTCCTGTGCCACTGGCTTGCGACTTCGCACCGGCTTGTATTGCACTTCAATGTATCCTTCTCGTTCTCGTTACACCACCGACGCTGCATCGCTCGCGGTGAAATGATGGACATAACGCAGCTTCCCTTGCACAAGCCTGAACTCGTGGATGTCCAACAATGTCCCATCACTTCCACCCTTGCTAAACACGCTTACAGCCCCCAAACCCTCATCAACCACATACCTCCTATCCGTATTCGCCTTGCCATTCAAGCTCACTGGTTGGCACTCCTCGGTGTAGTACTCGCTTCCCTCCAGCCGGGCGCACGGGGTGCCCCAGGGTAGCTCAAAGTTGCCGTTGCCGCTCCACAGATCGAGGTACGAGTTGGCCACCATCTTGAGCAAGTCGCGGCTGTCTTGCTTGGCCGTAACAATCACGGACCAATCCTCTGCATCAACATATGCGAGCGTCTTGGTGGCGTTGAACTGCGGCTCAGTCGAAGGACGTGAGATGACAACGTCTATGATCTTGGCTTTGAGTCCCGCGCTACCAGTGTTGTCGTAGGTAATCTGAGTGCCGATGATGTACGGATTCTTGGGATTGGCGACAATCAGTTGCGAGTACGTCTTGCAGTCTCGTTGATCGACAAAAGTGCGAGTGTAGTCGATCTTGAGTGGAGTGGTGAGGAATGAGGTGTTGATGTCGCGCTGCTTGTAGTTCTCGCGGTACACGGGCGAGCTGGAGGTGAGCAACGGGTCAACCTCCCCAGAAGTTTGGGATTCGATGTAGATGTCGGTTTGCATTCGAAGGGCGGCCCATTGGCACTTTCCTGCTCCTCTCTGGGCGAGCGAGAACTGTACGGCGGCTAGGATGCCGAGGGCTGCTAAGGTGAGACAAACCATGATGTTGTGCAGTTACTGATACAAGTGTTCTGGAATAATGAGAACAAGAAGCACATCAGAGACCAAGTCCATGTGCAGCAGATAGGTACTAATTAACTGTGAGGACCGGAGGCGATACGAACTCTAAGCCAAGTGCCGCGAGCGGTTCATCTATCATCGGCAATACCCATATTACTTCTCGCATTGGCAACCCCGCTCGCATATGGACAAGTCAACTCATTGAAGATGTTCGCTCTGCCCGTCAACTGTGGAATTACCCGGCAAAATATGCTAATGGTGCAACCAAACAGGAGTTGCAAGGGCATATGCCTTTGAAAAGACGAGAGCGTTCTCGGTGCCGCAAGTGGCTTACTTTACGACGTTGAGCAGACATCGCGGATAGAGGCGTGAAAACATGACCAGACATTAGATGTGGTCCCGGAGTTAGTTTATCCCCGACTTCAACTATCCCCATCCCCGCGGAAGAAAACATGACGTTGGAAGATACGTCTTGAACTATGATATTATCTTTCAGCCGCATGTTGCTAGTGTCCTCAAAGCTGCAGCGTCCTCTCACAAAAGAAGCAAAGAGCTAACAGCCGGCATAAACATAGACTCATAGCAACTGCACAGCCACCCGAAGGATTGGACTCTCAAACAGTGCCAAATCTCGATTTAGATGCCACCTCATTGTGGGTAGAAGTAAGTTCGATCACCAACTGTATGCCTTGTCCTGTCTTGACTCACATCATCTCAAGCTACGGTATCTACTTCATCATTGGCACTATGGTGTTGGCTATGTAAGAGATTTTACCCCGCTGTGATATCCAAGCCATATTTCATGCTTTTCTACGACTGTTGGGATCTCGTGATGGAAAACTTGACGATGCATTGACTTGTTGGTTGCTAGTATCCGGGTGTTCACATGAAAGCTTGACATTTGCATCATGATCGAGCCTTCATGCTGGGGCCATCACAGTCGAGGGCTAGGGTAAGTCGGTCCGTTATCACCCCGCTGTTACTGTTGGAACTTGAAGGAATAACAAAGCTCTGCATTAGATCTGATCTAGTCGGGTCCTTCCGAGCTCAGATGATGCCGTCTATCTTGGTAGGATTCACCTCTTTCCTGATGCGGTGCCGTGTTTTTGTGCGTGCCCCTTTTGCGCATTTGACGTTGTTTGCGGGCAGTTGTCGATCGGGATATGGACTGGAGAGAGGGGCCTATAACCTAGGCCTGGCAGTCACTAACAAGCTCTAAACTGTCGTTAACGGCGGATTCTCAGGTCGAGCATGTGCTGGCCAATGGGGCTCGAGGTCGCCGGCGCTTAACGGCATCCGCCATCGTCCAACAACACGGCATTTTCAGAGATTTCGAGCCAAGTGTGCCTCGCTGCCCTTCGTTGATTCGCCAATGGGCAGTTTACTTCTGAAAGTGTCATGGTCTTTTTCTACTTTGTTGCTTCGCCTCTTTGACCTCCATGTCCGCATCTCGAATCCGGAAGTTGACCTCTAAACGGCCCCCTCCCTAACCCCGGCCCCCTGGCGGCTGAATGGAGAGGGATCCACACCGGGCCCGAAACCGCGGCCCGGAAATGGGAGCCCGTTGAGGGCCCGGACCCCACTGCCGCAAGGCGATGCTCCTGCAAAAGTTCACGACCGGACAAGGGAGATGGAGATAGTGCACAACACAACACTCAGCCCGACCCGGGAGTCTGGTTTGATGGGGGTTTTTCTTGAGGCCTTTGAGAGGCACCTGGGTGTCGTGATGGAAAACATACCGGGTTCATGGACTGTCACCAGGACATCGGTTGGTGGCACATGCTATCGGTCCCTTGAGCAGGACTCCAATGTCGTCACATTTGGTTGCTCAGCCGGATGTTGACCTCCTTGTCGACTGCCGGGTCTATGGTCAAGACGGACTGTGAGGCGGATTGTGCTCATGACATTGGCACACTGGCGGCCGTTGACATGGTGTGGAAGGTGACTTATAAAGAGGCATCATGATGCCGGCCATGGAGGTTGGATGGAAGGCACTCAGATCAACATCTATCTTCAACGGTCTCTCAAGCTTCAGTCAAAGGACAGTCAGTCGACAAGAGCAGCAACAGCTTCACTCGAGCATATCAACTCGGACATCAATCACCTTACCTGACTCATCGGCAAGATAGTCACTCGGCAAGACCTCAACGGCTTCACCACTAGCAACAACCTCGACTTCAGAGCCACTCCTCATCACTCACCTCATACCAACCCTTCAACATCCAACACTACAACAAGTCAACAGTCACGATGTGCAACTGGGAGCAAACCAAGTTCGAGGCGTGCAAGCACACCGAGACCAAGCGGATGGCCTACTCGTGCGCCATCTACACGAGGCACACATATGGAGAATGCCGGTTCGATCCCAAGAAGAGCAAGGTCTTTACCGTCATTAGCTACGGCTACTGCAAGGAGTGTTCGGAGATGTTCAACAAATATGTCAATCTTTGAACTGGTTCGTGTCTGTGGGGGTTTTCGCTTCGATGGTTGTCTTACTACGTGAGTGTCATCAGATTCTGCCTCACTCCTAGGTGTGTTCTTTTGCTGATGATATACAAAGCAGTTTCTTTTTCCACATACCACTTGATGTGGTCCCGCTGCTGAGACGATGTACTCCTGCAGCTTTCTCTCTTTCTCTCAAAACAACGAAAAGTCGACACACATACCGGCAACATAACTGCACAGCTCTTGTTCACCGCATCCTCTACGGGTCCATCGACTGGTGATCAAGATCACAGCTCTCGGCGGAGTGTTCGCATTCGCGGTTGATGTTACAAGGCCAGATGATGAGCAGTGGCTCGGATATAAGGATGCGCGGTGATGCTTTATCTCCTTCTAGCGGATTTCAAGTCTCTGCCAAAGGAGATAAAGTCGAGTGGTTCAACACAACCTCGACAAATGGGAGGAAAGATTCGGGGTTTGGGACATGTGTGCGTTGGGCTACCTCTACAGTTCGGTATTCTCTTCTTGTATTTACTTCTTACAAATCCTCCTTTTCTTTTTTCCATTCGACCACAAGCTCGGATCTTCATGTTCTTTGACGTTCATAGAGACCGAGGTGTCCAATCTATATCAAACCACGATTATTAAGCCCAACATATCTGCATCGCCGCTTCGCCAAAAAAAGATGAAAAGAAACAAGAACACACACCCAACAATCGACCCACCCTACCCAAATCCCATAACCCTCCACGGTCTACAGTCAACTTCCAAGTTAACACATTACTTCCACTTCCACTTCCACTTCCATTTCCAACTCCCTAATAAGTAACCGTCAGCGCCTTCCCCAGATACTTGTCCCCATCATCACCCACCACCAGCCTCTTAAAGATCCAACCTCCGACATCCTCTCTCGAAATCGTATACCCAACCACCACCTTCCCACCCTCCAACTTTTTTGTTCGCAAGTCTTCCACTCCAATCCTGACTTTTCCCAACCCATTCTCCGGCCCATCAGTCAACATACTAGGCCTAATGACCGTCCATCTCTCCTTTTTAGAGTCTACAAGAACGTTCTCCATAGCCCTCTTGTCCTTCAGCGGTGTCTTGAGAAGGAGGGCATAAACGGGGTAGAGAGGGAGGGGGTAATCCCTGTGGACGGTGCTGGCGCCGGCGGCGCTGAGGGCTATGATGTAGGGCTTCTTCCCCATCCCAGAACCTGAGCCGGAAGCTGAGCCGGAAGCTGAGCCGGAAGGTAGACCGGAAGGTGGACCGGAAGTTGAAGCTGAAGCCGAACCGAAACCGGAAGCAGAAAGGGAAGCCCGTACTTGGTCCAGCGCGGAAAGCAGCGCACGGGCACCGGTTTCGCAGACGTGCGGGTCATCAACCCCCATCTTCTTCAGATCGGGCTTGCCGCCGATGGAAGTAATCACCATATCGACCAGCGTCGTTGGGTCGGAAGGATGGGTGAGAACCGGAACGAGGTCGGAAGAGGAGTGGGCGTTGCCTTGGATGATGCGTAGCGAAGGGGAGGAGAGCTCGGTTGGTGTGAGGAGGGACTGGAGGCGGGAGGGAGAGCGGGCTAGGACAGTTATGGTGAGGGAGGCATGGTTTGGCTGGTTTGGCTGGTTGGAAGAGTTGGAAGAGGCGAGACACCTGCGAAGGGTTGCGAGGGCAATACCGCCTGTGGCGGAGATGAAGAGGACTGATTTGTTGGGTTGGGGGGTGGTGGAGGAGGTGGACATTGTGGTTGAGAGTTGAGAGCTGCTGGTGGTAGGAACTCGAGTGTGGAGCGATGTTGGACTTGACTTGAAGTGTGTTGAGATTGTTTTCAGGGTGTTGCGAGGGCAATGATGGATGAGATGAAGCTGCGATGAAGAAAAGAAGTGTCTTCAACTTTCCTCCGAGTTGACAGACAGTGGGTTTATATCAAAAAAACCCAAAAGCGCAGTTCCCAGACTGCCTTCAACCACCTCGTGCTCCTCGGAGCGGAGCAACACCATCACCACCTCTCCCTATCAAAGCCACCACCAGATGCGTAGCCATCCTCCCCCATTCCTACTCATTCCAGTCCATGCATACGCCAAACACACCTCTAACCCACTAAAAAAATTGAAGCCATTCCAATCCTCAACACCTTCATCTACCAGCTGATGATACCCTCACCACAAGTTCTCCCGAGAACCTCCACAAACTCCACTGGGCGCTTTGGTGGCGCTTTTCTCCTCTTTTGGTTGGTCAGTTTCAAGCCACACGGTCGTGATAGTCGCAGAGACGGAGGAGAGACGGAGGAGAAAAGAGCCGAGTACTTGGGTGCCAAGAACGCCCTGTTAGTGATGCACGCCGCTTGCGGCTGTCTCAGGCTGTAATGGGAGGAGGGGGGGTTAACAGGCTTGGCAACGGTTGGCGTTCTCGGTGGTATTGCTTTGCTCTTTCTCGGAGTTCAGCTGAAGGCGGTGGTGGGATGGAGGGTGACGCTTCGGTTTGGTGAATTGGTAGGCGCGAAGTGGGTGGATGGTGGGGCAGTGCGATACTTCGGACAGTTTCTTATCATCATCTTATCACTTACACGATGGCGTTCGCTGCCTGGTGAGATAACTCGGGGAATCCAAATTGATGCGTCACTTACAAGTTGCCTGAGGTAAGCATGGTGGCTCGTCAGTGGTACAAGCTACAGCTCTCGAGCTAACATAAAATGAGACAGTTCTGGTTCCTTTCCAGCCAGATTCTGAACTCTCCATGACACTTCCCGTTCATTCACCTCTGAATTGTGGCATGCCCCACCAGCAACTTTGGTACCGTGATGGAATACTTCTAGAATGCGAGTCAGTCACGGATGGTGCTAGGCATGGTACCTTAATCTGAGCTTATCTCCGGATATTAAACCTCGTGGTTATGTCCCCATTCGGACGATGCTGACAGCCTGGCTGACAGCTGACAGAGCTGACGACGGGCTTACGACTCAGTCGTTCACTCATTACGGGTCAGCTTTGTGAGCTCTTTTCGTCAGTTCTTTCTTGACTTTGTTACAATGAAACATCAGTCAGGTAAGCTAATTCTTCCATGTTCCATATTCTGTTGCCCGTACTCGGAACATGGGATTCACAAGTTTGCGTAGGTATCCTCTAAGGTGGAACTTCCACGCCAAGACCAACATAAACGCTGTTTGACCGACGTATTTTTTTTTTTTGCAGACGATCGATTAGACGGGAGGGAGGCTCAGTAGAACATGTCGCTTCAGATCGGTCCCTTGCAGCGAGCGACCGTTCAACCTTGTGCAGTTTGCTTGGGCTTGGCTCCTGATTGTCTACCGAAGTTGCCGTTTGTTGTGTTAGGTATCGTGCCATATCGTTCGTTATTTCTTCGTCTTCTTTCCAACGAGCCGTCCGCGCGTCCGCGGGAACGAAACATGGACCCGCGTAGAGGTGCTTTGTTGTTGTTGTTTCTTGTCGGTTCCAAGTAAACGATAACCCACTGCAAGATTGTACGAGGACTCTTCTTCATTTCCCGAGGCAAACAGCAGGGATATTTCATACTCGTCGTACTACCTGAGTTGACACGTTGGCGGCTTGACAGGTTGACATGTCGTCGTCAGATGTCAAGTCGGCATACATCTTTCTTTTTGTTCGTCCGTTTCAATGCCCATCCGTTTCGCTCGCTCGCTTCGGTTCGGCAATTCCGTCATGCAAGTGCAAGGGGGGCGGGCTGTAAACATGGGAAAGGAAACATCTGGTATCCGTCTGTTGCATCTCGTGACGGTCTGGTCCCCATGTTGTCGACATGTTGAATATGAGACCTACTCAGTCAGACCTCACCTTGTCTGGCCTGATACCTGTTTCCACAGCTTCGAGAACGTAAGAGATAAATAAGCCTAGCTGTGGTAAAGAGAAGAGAGACAATCCATTTCTCTTACCCATCGCTTGTCGCTTCTGGAACATCATGTCTTGTCTGGTCTCGTTTCGGTTTCCCATGTCTCGTTTCGTTTTCCCATGTCCATGTCTTCGTCTCCGAGTCCAGTCAGCTCCACCTTTCCACAACCAACATCCCGAAACGGAAATTGACAAACAACAGGGGACCTGGTCAGCGACACCTGTTAGGTAATGGTTCAGGACTCCCTCCCAGTCTCCCTCCCGGACAGCCGAGACAAGTATTCGTTGCGTTCGTTCGACTTCTCGAACGTTTTCTAGTAGTACTCGCTAGCACCGGGGTTTGATCCGGCCCCTTGTTCACCGGCCCTTGTCCGGCCCTCCCTTGTCCGGCCCTTAGCTTGTCTGGAACATTAGAAGAGTCCGATTTGCTTCGGTTGGGTTATGACATCAGTGGAGATGGGTAGGTTGTTTCGGAGATGTTATGCTTGGCTATCGACACTCGGCAAACGGGGACTGCCGTATGTACCTTGAACCATGAACTTCGGGGATGTGTGTTTGATGGGGTTTAGTGTGTGAGATGTGCCTTTTGTTGACGTCAAATGCGTGCTGGGCTTGGTAGAGCGAGATTTTGCGGAGATCACGAGGATGGGCTTTGGTGTTGAAGATGGTTGTTGTTGACCGTCGTGATGCGAGACGTGGTTTTTGTTTCCAAGGTCGTCATAGTTGTCATCTGGTGGATGCATTCAAGTCAGTCCGATCACAGGCTCACGCAGTTTGATGGAATTTTGAACGACATGATGTTGTATCCAAGCTTGTCGGGAATTAGATTACCACTAAAAAGGTTTTGTTGCTGCTATACTATACAAGAAGATGAGAGAGATTTCGGAAAACAAAGAGTTTGAAGAAGAAGCTCGTTTTTCAAGCATTTGGACATTCATTCATTGCTGGTTCATTTGTCCCATGTAGATAATATCGCATTGCGCGTTCCTCCTCTTTTTGTGCTGCGTGCGTACGTTTTTAGCTGGCTGGTGAGACGATGGTGATGGTGGTGCTTTTGGAGATGATGATGATGGAAAACAGAAAAACAACAGAGACAGATCCGAGAAATAACCTTTCTAATCCCAGGGGTATCCTTTTTCTTTTTGCGGCAAACAAGACGGAGAGAAAGAAAAGGACTTTTGGTGAGAGTGAGAGAGAAAATGGGGGTGAAAAATGACATTGTGTGGAAGGGGAAGATGTGTGCTCTTTCAGAAATCACAACGGTGGCGTGACGCCGTACTGGTATACAGGCGCAATTGTGTTTGGCCGCGGGAGCTTGAAATGTGGAAGATTCAGACAGTAAAGTGTCTTGTGCTCGCTCCTCACCATCTCTCTGAACCCGTTGAGGTCCAACTGGCTCACGGGCGCGTAGATGCGCGGTCGTGGGGGCTCATGGACCAGCTCTTCTTTGTTGTCGTTCTCATCGCGGTTGTCCGCCAGAAAATCCAAGATATCTCCACGAAGCTTCTCGCCACGAGCAAAATTCTTGGAGGAAGGAGAAGGTGTTGGTTTGCTCAAGGGAGCGGGAAGATGGTGGTAGATGGATCCTAACCCGCTAGCCCACATGGAGCGGACATGTGAATCGTCCGTTACCCGGTGGAAATGCGGGTTCCTGGTCCGAATCTGCATGATGGTGACGGGCTGCAGATTTGGGACCCGGCCCGCGTTATAGCCGAGTCGGTCGGCATTCTGCGGTGCCAATTGGTCGAGTAGCTCCACAAAATGGAACGGTTCGATGGCGTAGCCGTTGGCGAGCCTCAAGTTCAGAGCGAGGTCCATCGTCATTGCGTGCTCGCCGGCGTTGCCCGTCACAATGATTTCGCTGTCACGGGCGGCCGCCAAACTTCCGGTTGGGTCGGCGTCGGCCATGGCGGATAGTAGCTTGTTCAGCCAGCGGTTGACCACCTGCGAACTCCTTCCCTCGCACGTGTAGTCAATCTCCCCGTTCCTAACCTTGGGCTTGGACGCCCACCGGAGGCGCACCATGGTCTCGGTGCCCGGGTTGGGGTTGAGGGCAAAGCCGGCGGCAAAGGCCCGGCAGTACTCGTTGACCGCTCCGGGAACGGTGATGTCGGCGTCGACAAAGGCGACATAGCGGCGCTGAGGGCACAGAGCAGCAACCAGAGCGATGCCAAGCATCATGCCCTCCCCCTTTCCATTTCGGATCCGCTTGTGGCTCCCACCCACGTGCGTGACTAGGTCGTCCAGGCCATACACGTTGAAGGCCGCTGCTGCCGCGGCATCGCTCTGGTGGATCGCCAAGGCGGGCCTGGCGTGGCGGCAGAACTTTCGGAGCATCATCACCTCCTTTTTGTACGCCCGCCCTTCGCTGTTGGACACCAGCACGATCAGACACCCCCGGGGGATGCCCGAGAGCACGCCTTCGATCGTGTTGGGATCCTCACCCTTGCACGGCACGATGACAGCCATCTGGCCCAAAATGCTGTCCAGTTGGGCCTGTGGGATGGTCACCTCTGGCGGGACGCCGTCCAGCACGCTCTCGTCGTCCTCCGGATCCGTGTCGCTCAGGTCCCTCATGTCCTCGTCGTCTGAAAAAAGGTCGTCGTAATCCGAGTCGTCCAGCGAGGACTCATCTCCCTGCTCAGAGCCCTGGGGAGTGTACGCTGACCCGACCGTCTCCAGCGGTATCCCAGAACCGGCATCTAGCTCCAACACCTCGATTAGGTGCATGATGCTGAGGCCGCCCAACTGCAGGCCTTTTCGGGGCTCTGTGAGACGCATGTTTGCTCTCGAAATGTGAGAAATTGGTGATTAGGGATATGAATTATGAATATGAGTATGAGTTTTAGCGTCTGAGATGGCGATAATTGGTGGTTGTATAAGCAGGCGATATGCAGGTGCTGCAGTAGTGCCAGTCAAGTGTCGTGAACTTGTTGGTGATCAAGTTCTTGATATCGATATTAGTCGTAGTGGCGATGATGGTACTTATAGCACATAGTCTTCTTCCCCGGGCAATGGCATGGATGAGGCAGTTCGGGATAGATGAAGGGAGAACGAGGCAAACAAACAAGGCGGCCGCGGGTTACTTTTGTTCGGTGTTGGTCTGACTGCGGTTCATGATTCCTCGGTGCTGTATGTGTGAGTGGTGGTCTGTGGTGTCACTCGGTATCTCTCTGTCGAGTAACTGTACTTGGGCTGTGGTGACGGAAACTGTCTTAAAAAGCGTGGCTGAACGTGGGTGACATGAAGCAAAAAAGAAAAAAGAAAAAGAAAACACCACCAGCCGGGAAAAGCTTTATCTCGATAGGGGGGAACCGAGGGAGTACACAGCACAACATGGGGACAGCATGGGTTAGAGATGGGCCCATGCAACAAGCTGTGTGTAACTGGAATGTATAGCAGTTTTGATTCTCTTAACTGTCTGTCTGTGTTACCCCGACTACCGAAGCCATGCCATGGAGGATACCACTGGACCTGGATGGGGATACTTGCCGGGATACCTGAGAGACATACTGTCAGAAGCAGTGAAATTGCCAATTTCCCGTGAACGTAAAGGCTGCTAAGCTTCAAACAGCACTCCCGCCCGCAGAACCTTCTATCCTTTAGTGGTAAACACGCCGTAAAATTCTCCAATAATACCCCACGTGCTGCTGCAGAGGCTGCTTGGGCAGGGTTCCGGGGGGTACTGGCTAATTGCCCAGCAACGCTCGTCGGATTTACGGTGGACTCCTCCCACCAGAAAGCTTCTGGAAAAACCAAGGGAACACGGGAGAACCATTCCAAATTTCCACTTTTAGCGTGCCCTTTAGCGTTAGTGTCGGTGTGTCCCGTTCCCTTGTTGGTGGGTATCTCTTACAGCGGTGCACTAAGAGGTAACTCCGCTACCAGCGGTTTCTGCGATTGGTAGCCACATCTGTTAGTGCAGTCCACTCTCCCTAACAAACCTCTACCCGTCCAACCCGGTAACGGTCAGGGGGTCGAAGATGGCGATGTCAACACCGACCTCAGTATGAAATTCTCGTTCGAAACATCCAAACTCAACTTGCAGCAAGAAACCACGGCGGATCAAACGCGGAAGATTCCCGTGCTGCCGAACCCCCTGGCCACATGCGAGGCGATGTCGATGCCGATGATCCACCAAGACCAGTCCAGTGCTTGTTTACTTTCGCACCAGACCACTCCAGACCAGACACCATCTTCCTCAGCCCTACCCAAACCAACTTTGATGAGAACAGGGAATCCTCTTGCAAAGATGAAGCCAACGTCTCTGCCGCGGACAGAAAGCGGTGATCCTAAATAGGTAGGTGCTTCCAGGCCCTGTGTCTACCCCCCGTCCATGACCGTCCAGGACCGTCCCCTTCCTGTGTCCCCATCCATGCTCATAGCCTCATCTTGGCATCCTGCCCCATCCCCCCGTCGAACCCGTCCATCCCCGGCTGCCACCCTGCTACCACCCTGGTCCTGCTCTGTTTCACGACCGGGAGCCGAGCTATGAAGGATCTGGACCCCCCTGTCCCGCCCGGGCATTATAGCGATCCTTTTCGAACAATTTCTCATACGAAGTGGACAAAGCCGAGAACAAGACAGAACAGCACAAGCCGGGTATCCCTTCACGGCTGCGCGGGCTTGCGGGCATGGCGGCGGGTATGGCACGTTTGGGGTCAGTCATGGTCAAGGTCATGGTCATGGACATGGAAGTGGACGTGGGCCTGTCTGGCTGGCTGGCTGGCTGCAACATGTGCTATACTTTTTCCCGACCGTCAGTCCGTCTCTCTTCTAGCTCTGCCAATCCGGTCTTGGCTTGCTATATTCAAATATGATAACCCCAAAATAAAAACAATAGTATATCACTGTTGGTACCGCAAGCGTGACACCGTTCGTGATCAACCCACGACGGATGCAGTGAGAACTCATCATCACTGGTCACCCAGAGTTTCGGGTCCAGCAGACGCGACATGGGTGCATGCCCGTCTTTTGGTATGCCAATGGAACTTGATCATGTCACCCTACTACGGTTGGGAACTTTGGGACGAAGCATGACGGCACAAGATACGGTGAAGAATACCACTCTACTCGACGATGGGAAGGGAAAAAAGGCTATGTCGGGCATCGGGATGACGATCACTCACTGACTCAGTCACAACAGGAGATGGCATTCTCGGGCGCACACTCATGCTCACACCACTTTCTTCCTTGACAAGTTGACACTGCCATTCAGCAACAAGCGCAAGCGCCAGGCGCGGTGACCTTGTTCTTCGGTGTGTGTCGTCCAGTCCCTTTCCCCCTTCCTCGTTGACACCCACCCACCCACCCACTCACACCCACGGATCCATTTATCCATCCACTTCCTTTCCCCCATCCAATGCCATAAGGTGTAGTGCCCCATTGCTATGTTCTTGGTGCTACACCAGAAAGTGTGATCGATGCAACCCAACTCTCTCGGTTGAGTTCGCCGAACACGGGCGTAACACTGGAGGAGAAAGAAGAAGACGGATTGACAGATCCCGTTGACAGGAAGGGAGAAAATATGCTGGCGTTGCAGTCCACGCCAGCCGGAAAGCGACCCAAAAGATGCCGTAAGAGACAAGAATGACGCGGTAGGATAGCGCGGTACATACACTACAATAACCCCTGCAACAATATCGGCTTCAGCGTAATGATGATACCTTTTGCAGTTCCCACACTCAAGCGCCTTGTCAGTCTTGGCGCGCTAATTGTATTGAATTGGCTACAATACCGACTTGAACACAAATTTGACAGATTAACCAGATTTAACCGTTTTAATCAACGCAAATCAACTATATCGCATCGTAAATTATCAAAATCTGTACTAAAAAGTTAGTATTTTAATGCTAGCATATTAGCTATCGTTTTATCTAGCGTTTTTATTATCTTTACTATTATTATAGCTATATAATATAGTGAATTTTCCTAATTCGAATTAGCGAGCTGTCGTAAATTTAATACTCTATAATGACGAACCTATTAAAAATATCGTTATAATCGCTAGCGTTTACGAACGTATAATATATTAAAATAAATATAATTTTAATATTATTAGTTGTAATAGGCTGGCGCCCAGAGATAGTGCCTGGGCTGCAGGCCCAGGCATGCTCTCTGGTTGGCCAGTGCCGCTCAGGCTACCCATTCATTCCAGTATATAGCTATATCTCTGTAGACCTATTTAAGCCTATAGACCTTCCTTTTCCTCCTTATTAATAATCTCAAGCTCTGTTCCACCCCTACTGCCGTGCATACCTAGTAGACCCGTAACATTAGTAAATTAGTACTACCCTTTCGAACGTTTTAAAATTCTAGAAAGCTCCTTATATAAGTTATAGAAATATATTCGTAATTATAGCAATTATAATTATTATATTATAATTACCGTCGTAAAGGAGGTTATAAAATTATTAATATTAAAATTATCCTTATATCTTAATAAAATTTATATTTTCTTAATTAACGAATATAACGTATACGTATTAATCGAGACCGTACGGCGCTATTTATATTAGGAGCGTTGGAAGAAAAAGCAATTAGCGTTTAAAGTAGTATAATAAGAATTTAAATTAGTAGTAGAATAGATAATAAAAATATTATTATTTATTATAAAAATATTTATTTTTTGCAATAAATTTAGTGTAGATCGACGCAATGAAATTCATTATATTAATTAGGCTTTCCGTAGTATTATCGCGACGATATCGAACCGTTTTGAATATAGTAAATAGTATTATATTCTTTTAATTATATTGGTTAATAGCGTATTCGAAATATTGGTTTTTAAGGGATAAATAAATGGCCTAGGGTTTATTAAATAGTTGAAAGATTGCCTCTTCCTTATAATAAATCCCTTTCTTAGTTGTAATAGTATTTTAGTAATGGATAATACGAATTAGTATTTACGTAATAAATTCTATTATATGTAGATAGGTACGAATATATTACTCTGGTATTTATTACTATATGCCTTAGAATTTAATCCGATTGAAATATATTATAGTAATTTTAAAAAGTATATAAAGCGGGTATATAATAACGAAGGTAGCGATAAGATAGCTAATAAAAATTTCCTTATTTTCCTTCGTCGAATTATTAAAAGTATTAAGTATAAAGTATAATAAATGTATAACTATTTTAAAAATATTAAATTCATTATAGAATGTATTAGCAATATTAATAAAGATTATGCGATTTTATATATTAGTTGGTTAGAGGAGTTTAAAAAGATTAGTAACGTTATTAGGCGAGGGTAAATAGGGAGGGTAATTAGGGAGTTTAGGTAATATAGGGGGTAATATATTATTTATAATGTATTTTAGTACTAGAAATACTAGAAATATTAAGAATATTAGAAATATTAAAAGGATATTTATTTATATAATAATAAAAAGAGGGTATAAAAGTATTAAAAATATTAGAATCCCCCTTATAATTAGAAAAATTTATTTCTTTTATTATAATTCGTTTCGTATATTAGAATTATTAGTAGTAGTACTATTTACTAGTAAAGTAAATATTTTTATAATATTAAGTTCGAAAGCAATAATATCGGTCGATCGTACTATAAAATTATATTGGGAATTTAGTATATAATAATAATAATTAGTTAAGTTTATTAATTAGAAGGTAGAGGGTATATTATAGAAATTATTTATTTAGGCGATTATTAATTACTTTTATTTAAAGAAAGTTTTAATACTATTTTTAACGAAGTATAAAATTTTATTATAAAGCCTAGCTTTATAAATTATTCGATTAATTAGTCTTTAGGCGCTATAATATTTTCAATAGGATTATTTAATCCTCTAAATATTTCCTATAATATAATTAGAATTTGTAACGCTTACGTTACTATTAAGATTTTTGTTACGAACTTTAAGCGAAGGACACGGGCCAACCAAGCCACCGGTACACAGCAGCCACGTGAAGGCTGGGCAGTGTAACCATGACAAGGAAGGAAGGCTCATAGACAGACATAGGCACATAGGCAGACACAGGCTCATGAAGGCGAGCCAGACAACTGTAACTAGAGGCACGAGAGTATAAGAGGACGACTGGAGAACTCAGATTGTCAGATAGTTCGACAGTAGTCAATAGACCATCGTCACCAGAGACACGTATAACGATACTTGTTGTGAACCCTTTGGCTTCACGAACTGCACTTGATAGTCTTTACATTCCTGGTAAAAGGTTTTAAAGAATTTAATAATAAATTCGTTTAGGATATGGTTATATAGCGGGGGTAGTAGCGGGGAGGAGGGAATTAGAGGGGATTTATTTTCGTCGGTAATAAAGGGTAGTATAATTAATAGAGGTATTGGAAGTACGGTTAAAAGTAAAATAGAGGGTATTTGTATAAATATAGTAAATAAGAGTGGAGGGTTACGTTTAATAATTAAAATTTTGCAGTTAGTAGGGTAATTATAGAATACGGTAATTTAATAATTAGATGGCGCGTTTAAGGTAGCGTTTAATAGGGCTATTATAATACCTAATATTAGTATAGTAATAGTAGAAATAATTATAATAGAGGAAGGAAAAGGAGGTGGCGGGAAAATTAGGTAATAAGGGTAATTATATAGAGGGTAATATATTAATTAGTATAGTAAGTATAGGTACAGTAAATATAGGGGGTAATATAGCGTTGGTAACCTCTCTTCCTTTTTTAACGTTATTTATAAAAAATTATTAATAAATTTTATATTAGTATTATTATTATTACTATTAACGTTATTAATAATATTAATATAGATTAGAAATTTATTACCACTATATTTCCCGCTATTCGAATTAGTATTAGCCATAACGATTTTTATTATAATTATTTTTTAAATAATTAAAGTAGGAGGATTTCGTACAGTAATATACTTAATTGCAATAGCTTTTATTTATTTACCCGCATTTTTTATAGAGAAGTTATAATATCTTTTATTACTATCGACGAAATAATATATTTAGTAGTTAATTCCCTTATTATAATTCTTATAATTATACCTAATATTATATTTTGATATTTAAAAGAATTTATAGTATGCAGTACCGTAGGATTTACATTCCCTGCGTGCTTTTTATTCCCAATTTTATTTATTAAATTTATTGATTTCTTTTAGTATTATATTAGTTATATTTTTCCTTCCTATATTAAATTTTAGGAGTAATAAATGCGTATAATAATTACGGCGTAACGGTTATAAAGGAATTAACTATATTACGAAAGGGGGTAAAAATAGAGGGTATATTAATAATCGAATTAATAATAAGGATGAGCGTTAATATTGTAGGCGGGTCGACGAAGGTAAAGGTAAAAGCGAACGTAAAAGTATAATATTAAATAATATTATTACGGATATATATTTTTATAATACCCTTATTATTAAAATCATAATTATCATTATTAAATTAAGTAATTATAATAGTCTTTATATAAATTATAGTTTTGTTTTTTCTATTATTATTATAAACGCTAATAGTATGTATAATATTATAAAGGATAATTTAATATTTAATTTTAGTGGCGGCCGCGTTAGCGATAATTTTTTAGGTATACCCTATTTATAAACAAAGGATTTCCTTAAATAGTGTTATTTTAAATTATTAATTATAAATTTTGCCGTTCTCTTATTCGATTTCAATTTTTTAATAGTTTTTATGGTTAAGAATAGCGGGAGGTTTAATTTTGAGGATAGTAAAGTATAATTTAGTAATTATAAATTTTATTTAAATATAAAAAAGGAGAGCAGGTTTGGGAAGTAATATAATTTATTTGCGGGTACGCAATTAGGTTAGAGTATATAGTTGGATTAGAAGTGCTTAGATTGGGAATATTATATTTTTATTATCTTTAGAAAATTAAAATAATATATCAAGAATTTTCTTTTAGAGGTAAGGCGGATAGGGAGGTTAGGGAATTATTATCTTTCCTTTTCCTTTTCTTCTTCTTTTTCTTCGTCGTTATCGAATTTATTATTGGGGTTATTAAAGAATTCGATAGGGGTTAGCTGTATAGGCGCTGAGGAGGGTACGATAGTTTCGGGTTTTAAAAAGGGTTTTGAAAAGGGTTTTAATTTTAGCGTAGGCGCCTTTCTTTTCCTTTTATTTTTAAGAATAGCTTTTTTAGGGGTAGCTTTCTTTTTAGGGGCGGCTTTCTTAGGGGCGGCCTTCTTAGGAGTAGTTTTCTTAGGAATAGCCTTTTTTTTAGGAGTAGTTTTCTTTTTAGATAAATTAGTAATAGATTCCTCTCCTTTAGATTCGATAAGAGTACGATTCTTTTTCGTAGGACGGGTGGAGGTACGTATTAGTTAATTCGAATTTTGATTTTTATCGTCGAAGTAGACCGAAGTAACGTTGGCACAATAAGTCCGCTTCTGGTTTTTTAAAATCGATTTGGGAAGTATTATTATAATGGTTTAATTAATTAATGTAATTGCTTTGTTTATTTTGTATAATAAAAAAGGTTGTGTAGCGCTTTAATTCTGTATATAAATTATATAAAAAGATGATATTTTACGATGTGTGTATGTGTTCTCGCTTAGTTGTTGTAGCTAGCTTAGTAAAGTTTTAGTAATTAACAAGGCGCTTGAGTGTAGAAAAGACTCTTATTACGGCACGTTGAATTAAGAGCCGAGGCTCCAAAAGGTTTAGACGAATGTAATAAAATATTAAAGATGAGGAGGAAAGAGGAAAGTTAGATATATCGGATGGAAGAGAAGAGGTTCTTATATACAATGCCTATGTGCCAGATGGGATCGAAGCCCAGATCCCAGATGCCAACAGGTGTTGGCATGCCGTGCCATTACAGCTCTGGAAAACCCAGTGGCTCGGATACGCCTGTCCTGTTGGACCGTGACCTCCAACTTGGTTACCCAACCAAAGACACCGGACATTATCGATCCTACGCTAGCCCCGAGTTTACTATAACTGACAGCAGCAGCAGCAGCAGAACACACATGCATCAAAGCAGGGGGACGGGACGAGAAAAGGATGGATAAAGCGGGAGGATTTGCTAACAAATCTTGAAAGAAGAAAAGAAAGAAGAAAACAAGAAGACGGGGACCACATTCCGCTAGGAGTGTTCTCCGCAAGATAGCAATCCCTGAAAGCCCGGGGAAAGATCAAGGAACAGCATCCTATCGCCGTTCAAAACTTCCATATCTACGAAGAAGCAACTAAAGAGTTCCAAAAGTAGCATCAATGCATGTCTCAGATACACCACAACCACCACCACCGACCACCACCGACCACCACCGACCACCACCGACCACCACACCGAAAAAGAAGCAATGCTGAGACGGCCCCTGAGACTGCGAGATATCGTGATCGGTTCCAGCGCATCGAACACCCGAAAGCCTGTTAGCCATTAGCCAGAGCAGCTGAAGCCAAGCTTTCAAGCCCTGTCCGAACGCTGAATGGATGAATGCCATAAACATGTGAATTCAATTCTCAAGCAATGAACGGGCGGGCACTAAAACAGTCACAGCACCGAACAGAGCCATGAAAGTTTTTTAAGTTTCGGACACAGTCTTCCTTCTTCCGCCTGCCACCTGAATAGCCACCACCGGAAATTCCCATACTTCCTTGTCAAGCCACCACAAAAAAAAAAGCAATAACGCCATTTACCTCCCAAAAAGAACAAACCGCAATATCTGGTCGACGTCGGCACCACCGGGCACCGGGATCATCATGCCAGCCACAACGTTTCTGCACAATCCCATTCTCATACATACCTTACCAAATTTGGTCGTTGCGGCTGAAGCCACTTGTCTTCCGAAGAAAGCCACACGTTTTAAAGCTCTTCCTTCAAAAAGTTGAATCCTTCCACTTCCACTTCCACTTCTCGATTCGTCTCTTTTCAAGGGCAACAAACAGAATCGGATTCGTCTCTTCGAAACCAGGATAGGCAAGGGTGCGGCGCAGGTACGCTACCTACCTACCGTAGCAGATATATCCCATGTCCATGTCAATGCTGCCCATGTCTTGCCCATGTTATGCAGTCCCGCACTAACTTGTCTGTTTTCTGCTCCCCGGCTCACCGGCCCCCCTTCTTCGGGTTAGTCCTGCTTTCCGGTTCCGAAACACACCTGGCAACTTACTAGGTAGACTACAGACCATTCCTTCTTAACTCGGTATGGCTTGCCTTTCATGTCTTCAACACTAAGACCTAGGTTGTTGATAGCACATCCATCGCCTGTCTCTACCTATAGTTCTTCAGAGGAACAGTTGGCCCGGGATCACAAACAGGGTTCTCAGTCAACACACTTCGATCCATCCCATCCCGTTCGGGCTGGAATCCGACACTATTTGCATCAGAGGAGGTGCTATACATAGTAGCCACTAACCCTCTTGATCAGAATCAGACCTATAAAGGTACCCTTGGAGGATAACCCTAGGAACAATGGGACGTCATCGGCTTCAACCAACCAACCCTGGCGTCCCTGGGCCGGCCTCGGGCTGGGGCTTGGGACCGAGTGAGTGTCTGACTGCATACTAACCACGTATGTAAGTTCACTCACATGATATCCCGCCTGTTCCCTTGCGTGCATTAGTTGCCCTACCTTTCTGGTAGTGACGGCCCTTTTTGATCCATTCATGGCCCATCCCTTCCAGGTTAGGTTGGCGTCCACATACGGCACCGAGCCAGTGACATGGTTCGGAAGCAGGGACTGAACCTAACTCAAGCATAGAACTTCACATCACCCACATAAGGTACCTACCTGTACGGTCTGTACCGTGTCAGGTAGGTAGAACCAAAGTCCAAAAGAAGACTTACAGTTACATCCCAACTCCCAACTCTCAACTTCCAGTTCCCATTGAGCCCGGTATGTAAAGGGTCAAAGCAGACCAGACCCAACAAGTCGGACAAGGTTAGGTTTCCACCCGACACTTCCCCGTGCCGTCTCCCTGTCCCACCCACCCAGCTGGAATCCTTTCAGTTACCAACAGCTCGGCTCTGTGCAATCGGTAATGAAGGAAGAGATTCCGGCTCCGAAAAGAGAACAACACCACCACGGACGGCAATGACCAAATCCAAATACAGCACAAGCAACCAGGGCAGGAACCAACCAACCACATTTAGCGGACTTGGTTCCCAAGGAAGAAAGAACTGCTAGACTAGACCATGGCCCCCATTCCCATTCCCATTCCCAGCCCCAGCCCCAGCCTTAGTCCCAGGTTGTCCAGCCAGGCCCAAGTGATCTATCACCAACCAACCCACGATATCTCCAGTCCGGTCTGGTGCTACGCATAGCGGCATAGCGGCATAGCGGCATAGCGGCATAGGTGGAGGTAGGTAGGTACATCAGAGACGTAAAGAAGGTAACAACTGACAGGGCTGTAAGGTACTTAACCATTTATGACATGTATACCTCTACCATCAAATGTATACGGGATACCTACCTACCTGACAATGTCCGCCACATGTAAAGGGTGATGGATGGCGTGACGGTTGATACTGACGCAAGGGAGACAGACAGTGCTACTAATCCCGGTTATCTTTCTTTGGGGGTTAGTTACCTAGTCGATGTCATAGTTCGTTCGGTGTGTGTGTGGCTGAGGAACATGGAACTGGAAGGATGCCTGTCGTTCATACTTCCCTACCTTACCTACCTATCTCCATTAGTCAAAACCACGTCCTTGTCTATGCTCGATCGAGCCTGAGTTAAACCCGTCCCCGCGCTGGATAGTGTATACCAGAGTTATTCGGCAACACTGGTGCTGATGCTGACAGAGCTAGGTATGTCGTAATGCTTTGTTCAACGAACTAACGAACTAACGAAGTCGCGCTCAACCACACCTCGTCCGTCTATCCTTGGTCCAGTCCGTCGTGGTGTTCCATAGGTAATCCTACTAGTAGTTCACTTCGACAAAAGTGTAAGACCTAGCTAGGTAGTTTCTCGCGTCTGTGACTGCTTAAACAACTTTCATTAGTCCGAGCACCAGCACCATCCATCGGCTTTTCTCGTTTCATTCCAGTTACCTACTAGGGCTTACCACGGCCTTGGTGACTCCAATGTCACGCATCTGTCTCACAACGTCAGTCACAAACTCACCATCCATCCGTGCTCCCAGAAATTAGTGTAGGCATGAATGGCTGTACAAAAAGACCATTTGCATTGTCTTGCCCTTCCTTGTCTTGGATTAAAACCTTGGATTGGTATGGGAAGGCTGTCACTGTCGCTGTCACTTTGTGACACATCACCTACCTCGTTAAGGCGCGCACGTTTTTGTGCAACCTCGATCCCTGCCGCACATAGATAGGTAGTAGTGGTAAAGTGCCATGGAGATTTGATGGGGATGGGATCTGATGTAATCCCACTTCCCGCTTTATGAGGAAAAGTTAAGAAGTCTCGTGCCAAGCGGGAATAACCAGTAAGCCACATAGGTAGTCAGGTACCAGTGTAAGAGGACGAAATGGAATTGGACGGGTATTTGGCGGTGAGCAACTGAGAAGCATGTCATCTTTTAAGCAAATTTGCTTACTACCGTCTGTCGTTACCTCCCCGTGGTTCCGTGAAGAACCACGCAGCAGGCTGCCACTGCCAGGAACTCTGAAAACCAGCAGGTTGGTAATTGTACACCTCACACCTCGCCGCCTCGGATATCGGTTAGGACGCGTGTGCAAAGTTACACACGTGCCTGATTCTCATGCGAGTCATCGGTGCACGCCATTGCGAGTTGCGTGGAAGTTGACTGTAGACCGTGGAAGGTTATGGGATTTGGGTCGGGTGGGTCGATTGTTAGTTGGGTGTGTGTTTCTTGTTTCTTTTCACATTTTTTTTTCAAGCCCGAGGTTATGGTGAATGATACAGTTTCCTTTGTACCTATAGATGTCAAACTTGTTATACTAGCTACCGTGTATGCTGTGTTCTGTCGCTGTGTTCTGTTGCCCAAATTGTTGATATCAGAAAGCTCATAATCCGACACAGTATGTATGTCGCTGAATCCCCCCTCCTGCTAATCCATCTGCCATGCCCCTTTTCTATGGCCGGCAGAACACCCATACCTGATATTCAAAAAGAGACGGCCGGGAGGGAATAGCTGCAGTAAAGCTGCGTACCGCACCGCTCGGCCACCGAGTCCCTGGGGGTTGTCGGCTGTCGCAAGCATCGCTCGGCCACCGAGTCCCTGGGGGTTGTCGCAAGCAGATCCCGTCCGACCAACCTTGTGTGCTCATCACCTTGGGCCCAGCCTCAGTTATCTTGCAAACCTCCATCTTTCAAATCCTCATCTTTCAAAGCCTCCTCCTTCGCAGCTTCATCTTCCAAACCCTCATCTCCCATCTCCTCCTTTCCCCCAGGCCACCCAGCAGCATCCAAATAATCCTCCGGCAAACACCCGCCCACCCCACATTCCTCCGTCCTCTCATACAACTTCATATTCACCCCCCTCTCCTCCCCCATCCCATCATTCCTCATCAAAAGCGTGATCGTCCGGATTCCCTTTTCCTTCTCAAACTGTTTCGCCAGATCCTTCAGCCTCTTCAACAGCGCCACCACCTTCTGGAGCGTCTTTTGGTTCTGCTCTGCCTCTACCCAGAGCCTGATATCTTCGGTCTTCTCCTCCACGGGATTGTTGCTCTTGTTGTCCTCGCTGACGCTGGGCACTGTGGGCAGAAAGCTTCCGTTGTCGTTCTTGGCAATGTACAGCTTGCTGAGCTGGGAGAAGTAGAGCTGGGCTTCGGCGTTGAAGAGCGGTTTGTTGCGGACCTTGTGGGTCTTGACCTCTACGAGGCAGCGGGCGGGTATCTCGCGGCCGAGGCGTAGGACGCGGAGGTTCGGGGACGAATTGGAGTAGATAAGGTTTCCGGAAGCTGAGAGGACACCAGAGAAGGGGGTTTCTGGGTCATTCATGGATATAGAGCGGCAGGGGGAAGGGGGTGGGGACGCGGGGGTTGTTTCTCTCGTTGAGTCGCAGTGGCAGTCGAGGGAGGTAACGCTCAAGTCAGAAGAGAGAACAGAGAGGTTGTTGCTGCTCGCCCCAGAGGAGGCGGCAGAGACCGCACTGCTGCGCCGTCGATGTTGGGCCACTTCGTCGACAGTCAGTGCTGACAAGGTTTCTGGTAGGGCCAAGTCAAAGTTGCCTGGGCAGTGGCAGTCACAGTGATATGCGTCAACCTCCGACTGGACGACCAACTGCAGTCCACCGAAGCGATACTGGATCACACGATGATGGCTTGCGCTACTCTTGAGCAGTTCGTCTTCAAGATCGTCGTAGATGCACGTTGCTTGCTCGAAGCCGCTGCCGTGACCCAAACTGGAGTTAAGGGATGGGTCCGACGTCCACTTCGACAGAAAGAGTATGTTATTTCTCCAGGTGAGATCATAGCGCTCGTATTCGCTTTGTTGATTGAGTAAGATCATGAACATCTTGCGGAGGTTACTGGCGTTGGTAACGATGTCTGTTTGCCTCAAGTCATAGTCGGGATCGGTTGCTTCGATAGATCGTACAAGGGGCTCGAAGTGATGGGTAAAGCTTGGGTAGTTACGTCCGAGGGATTTGTTGTGGTAATCGAGCTCGAGGTCGAGTTGCTGGGTCAAAGGGTGGAGGCGCGGGGGAACACCTAAAAGAGAGATGGAACCACAAAGTTAGCAAAGACGGTTCCTCTATGCTCCGGACCAAGGCTCTCCCTTCACTCCCAAAATTGGCACATACCTGGTACTGCTATCTGATTGTTGGCAATTTTGTTGAAGCTCGAGATGGCATGCACATCTTGAATCCGGACAGGTACATCTTCTCCCAAGCCCATGTCTCGCACATTTACAACTCCCAGAAACTTTAGATTCTGCCGGATCAAATTTTCCCGTCTGCCAGATCTCTTGTTGTATAAGAGATCGCGTTGGACGTGACTCGGGGGGTGGTAATAGATGCAACATCCCGACGTGAGGAACTCGCACATCTCCCCCTTCCAGCACGGCCTGGGTGACATTTGCATCTTTTGCTTGTGATGTTTGATCCGGTAAGGATCATGGTCATCACCGCAACTCGAGCCTCTTTTGCAGGGTTTGTCGTTGACAAGCCATCCGCAAGGAGGCGGAGGCTTGTGACTGTCTCTGTTCAGCATCGTGACGTGTATGTGTTGTCGTTTTTGCTTCGAGAAATGTTGGCTTAATGAGCAACAGCACGGAGTTAGATAATATAATCTTCTTCCAAGATCTTTGGCCGGACCATGTTATATATAAGGGCAAAATAGCCTGTTCGTTGGGATGCTCCAGCCTCCTTGTTTTGCTCTTTATCAGCCTCCGGTATCGAGAGACCAGTTGGCGGGATAACCACGTCAAACCAGGACTACAAGTCCAGTCTGTCAGGCTCGCTGGATAATGTCGCTGTAATCCTCTGTATCTGAGGAACAAGTTAGGAAAACCAGGTAGTTTTCCACGTCGAAGGCACACGGTGGTTGAGCTCAGAGGTGTAAGATATGTTCGCTCGTAGAAGACCAATTATTCGCGGGCCCAACTGCAGACTAGCAGTACAGGATTGTACCCTTACTCGATAGTTCTGGTTGATTGGTTGTAGGCTTGCCAACTAACACCCGCGGGAGGCCCAACGACGAGAATCCGGGGTGTTTCGGGGGTCCGTCGATTGGGAGGCATACAACGTCCTGAATCTAAGGCTCAATGTTAGGTTGTCTATTTCTCAGACAAGGCGGACTTGGGGATGGTTGCTTGCCTACCAAGATGCACCAGTTGCTCTGGTTGGGTCTGCCTTGTGTTAGGGACTGATGCAAGTCTGCCTGTCCTGCCTCACGTGCGACTGACCGCGGCCTAGGAATAATGATATCGGTGAAAAATGGAAAACCCACGATCTGGTCGAAGATGTGGAAAAGAACTTTACCAAGAGAAGAAGAAGAAGAAGAAAATCCAGAAACAAATCTGGGTGTTAAATCCGACGGGCATATGCACCACGGCTACTTGCCGGGCAGCAGGGCACGCCTTCCACCTGGCTGCACGTCCCACAGAACCGCAGGAAGGAAGCCATCGCTAGTCAAGAAAGTGACTGAAGGATAGATGGCTGATTGGCAGCTGGGGGGGCCAATACCGTGTATATTCCGGGACCCCCAATTCCTTCCTTTGGCTGGTTTCGCTCTTTCTCCACAGCAGACCACTTTTTCACGTCTTGCTCATTCCCTGACCTTCTCCCTTGCTCTGGTGGTTCTCTGAGCATATGATGGCGGGGTGCATCCGTCGGTGTCAACTAGCAGGCGAAGATGGCCATCCTGCGTGACAGGAGTTACCGGAGTTACTGGGCGCGCGGAAAACTGCTATCGGCCGACGTATGTACCAACTGATCCATCGTAACTGCGATACTTCGGCCACGATGTATCAAGCGGCCAGCACCAACTTCAATGCCATTATTCGCTGCGTATAAGAAAGGAAGTTGGAGGAAATCGCTGCCGTTGTACTTGTCTCATGGACCGCTGGGCCTGATCAGATCTTGTCGCAGAGTAGGGGATGAAGCAGGCAAGAACGGGTGAATGAAACAGAAAGTAGAAATTAGACTGAAAGCTTGGGAACCGACTCCAAGACCAGCAAAAAAAAACCATGGCTCAGTTCATCTGACTTACGCACCATGAGACATATCATGGTTAGCAATGAATGCATTCCACTCAGAGCCATCACAATGAGTCAGTCAGTCGGATGAAGCAGATGCTTTCCCTCTTGACTTTATTGCTCACGGTGTAGTTGGACGAGATCGGTGCCCTGCAAACACTTCAAGGCGTACGGGCCAGCAGCTGTAATACCTTAGCGACAAGACAATAGGACCCAAGCGTTTGATCCGATAGCCTGTGGGCGTGCGCACTTGCACGTCACTGAGGCTGGGAGATTCAACCACCATGAAAAACGCAGGTTCAGTTCGTGACACTCCTTCACTGAGCGTCAAAACAAGTCGGATGACACGGGAGGAGCTCAGAAGCCACAACCCATTCACCAACAGTAGCTCAGGTCCAATAAATCTCGACTCGAAAATGGCCGACTCACTTGCTCAAATACCGCGCCCAGCTCGCCATAAAGCAATTCAAAAATTCGTTCTACCATCAACCGTTCAACCAACTTGAACAAGACGAAGGAAGTGCCCAAGTACGAGAAAAGAAGCGGAAACAAAGAAGAAATGGAGTTTCAGGAAGCACTCACCGGTCTAATGACAACATGCACTGGGTTGGTTCCAATCCTCGTACTCGAGGTACCATCGAACCTCTCAACCCTCGTCGAGGATATCCCGAGAGTGCTCAGGGAGCTCGAGAGGACACTGAGGGATCTCCAAGAAATACCTCGGGGGAGGAGGGAGATGGTGGAGGTGCACCACTTGCTGGTCGTGCTGGCATACGGCATGTTCGAGCTCTCTCGGCTTGATACAGCACTCCATGCTCTTGAGTACTTTGGAGATCGAGAGCCTTGTACGGACGACGAGAAAGACAAGAACATGAATGTGCTCTGGGATGTCAAAATGACTTTGGCAGAGTTTTGGGAGTATGTCAAGCATTTCAGGGCCATTTTGACTAGGTGAGTTGTCCGCAAGAGGTCCGGTTCCGCTTATGCTGATATCTTCCAGCGAATCCCAACCCGAACGAGTTTGGAACAAGAACAAGCTGGAAAGAGAGCTCCAAGCTCTTCTTCGTCGACCCAACCATGTGTCGAGCCGTCTTAGGACCATTGACCTTTGGATGGAGGACGGGCAACGATACGGCAACGGCGGTTGGAATAGGGCTTTTACGGATGTGATGTTAGACCCAAGTTTAGACCCTCCGATTGTGCCTAGCAGAGTGGCTGCCATACGATCTCAGTTCGACCCAGAGTCAGGCTATCGGCCAGTGCGTAACAATCTCAACCGTCCGCTTTCGAGATCGTCAGATCCGAGATTGTCATCTCAGACAAGAGATACAGCACGTGTACTGCTCTCTGATATCTCGGGTGTTGAGGACATCACCATTCCCATCTACCGGGAGGATCTGAGTAACGAGGTCAACTACAGGTTCAGTAGCGCGCCTCGTAGATCAAGACCAAATTACTTGGACATCGCGGATGCGCCGGGGATACGAGAGATTGCTCAATCATCGCCTTGGCAACCACCGCGATAAGAAGAATAACGGATCAGACAGGAGATGGATCCCTGGTCGTAAGGTGAAGGTAGGAGGTAGAGCGATATGCTGGGGTGGGACGTTTCCGACAGGCACCAAGTGCTGTGGGAATGAGAAGGTGTGGTTCGTAAGGTCGCGGGTTGCGGATGGAAAAAAGATGAAGGAATGTGGCATGGTGGAGAAACGGGGAAAGGATAGAAGCTTCTGGGTAGCAATCAAGTTATAGACCTTGGACAGTAGTCTCTTTGCCATCTAGGACAGACGCTGATGTCTGATCAAGGTGAAAAATCCGACATGTGAACCAGTTAAGGTTGAGAAGAATGGAAACCGGGTTATCACCCTGAACGAGATAGATTCTTTGACTGAATCGGCGTCTCAGTGCTTGTGCCCATGGAAGTGCACCCCAAACATATCCTCCACATTGGTCTCAAACAGCGCCGTCTTCTCCAGCTGGGTAAGGAAGTCAGCATCGACGATGGCCTTTGCAGCAGCCTCATAGGGGAAGTGCGAGTATGGGAAGTCCTGAACGACCGACGAGTTAGCATGTGTTCTTGTACGACCATCACCGGGACCGGGAGACTCACACTGCCAAAGACTAACTGCGAAGTAGGGACGCCGTAGCCCAATAGCCCTTTGACCTGAGCAAAGTAAGTAGGGCCCGCGCTGTCATACCAGACTCTGGAGTTCAAAGCCTGCTTAGCCAGCTTCTCCAACGCCCCGCTTCTTTTCAAGAACCGATCCTCAATGGCTGGGAAGGCCCCGCCAACGTGAGCAATCGACCACCTGACGTTGGTGTATTTGATCAGCGTCTGGCTGAGGACAAGATCCATCAGAGCCCGAGCCGTCTCAAAGTAGAACTCGACTCTGCCCGTGGGGTAGGTGGTTGGGTTTGCCACAATGATAGAGGAACCGTTATCAACGCGCATCAACGGCTCAGTGGGGTGAACGATGCACACATGCGGGCCACCGGGGATAGTGTTGTTGAGGGCCTCGAAGAAGGGTGCCAGAGCAGCGTTACCAAGGTAGTAGCCTTCGTGGTTGGTGAGCAGGCCGAGGCCGAGGGCACCGAGCGACGAAAGGGCGTATTGGGCTTCTTTGAGGGCGGCGTTGTTGTAGGGGAGGGGCATGACAGCGAAGAAGTCGAACCGATTGGGGAAACTTCGCTTGAGCTCAGCGAGCCACTCGTTCAGCAGACGAGCAAGACCAACGGAGTAAGCTTCATTTCCGTAGAAGACTGTGGCACCAGGTGTTGACATGGAGATAATGGCACGGGTGATGTCTGAGAAGCATTAGTCCATGCCACAACTCATGGCTTCTCCGAAGATATCTCACCATCGTCTGCCATGAACTGAAGATGCTCCTGGACACTCCACTCGGGAGTAGGAGAGCCTCCTGTCAAGGGAACCAAGTCATGGTAGAAACTGGGAACCGCATGGACATGAACGTCAATCCTTGAGGCATTGCGAAAGTCGTAACGAGTCTGATTCTTAGCAGCTTCCTTGATCTCCTCAATGGAGCGGAAGGCGGCTTGGGCGAAGGGAAGTGCTTCCAAGTCGATAACATCTGTCCACCCTGTTAGCAATCATCACCACCCCAAAGTCGTCACTCTTACCTTTCTTGGCCTGCTTGATGATCTTGGCGATCTGCGCACTGGGCTTAGAATGAACCCCGGCGATAGCATCACCCGCGAGGGCGAGGAGGCATAGCGGCCTGGAAGCGGTTCTGAGCAACATCTTGTCACGTTTGCGGAGATTACACCACGAAGGATCTTTCTCTGATGCCGAAGATGCGGTTTAAAGACTCGCTTGAGAAAAAGTCTTGACCGTCGGTTCGACGCATGTTGCTGACTCCGCGACGGTGGACCATCCCGAACATTCGATGCGCTGGCTCTCTTTTGGTGTTACTCGTCACGAGCTGTTGTGTTAACAGCGGTGAGGATGCTATACACCACATTCTATGCGAGCGAGACAGTTAGTACAACCACACTGGATGCCCTCCGTGTTATCGATATCACACCTGTGACGTAGTTCGGAGATCAGCCCGAAGACCTTTGGACCTTCGACAAATCCAGCACTGGATGGCATGGTGTTTGCAGTGATTCCGATCATCACACGCATAATGCAGCCTCAGTGCTACACTGGTACCGCCATACAGCAGGTCGGTACCAAATATCTCAGCTAAAGCTCCGATGGGTTAGCGCCATCCCAACCAAACCTTTTGAGAACGACGCCCTAGCGGTAGCGAGCAAGTGTGCCAAGAGCCTCTCACGATAACGTCGCTCGGAGTCTGTCCTTCAGCTTTTTGCCAGTGTCAGCGGAACTTCCCATAGTACAACCGCCACACATCTCGTCAAGGTACTTACCAGGCACCAGCTTTGAGACCTTCCCTTCACGCGAGTGAATCGCCAGGCAAAGCCTCGGTTCGGCTCCGAGGTCTCGGTCCGGCTCCGAGTTCTCGGTCGGGCCGGTCGGTGGAATTTCGTAGGTAGCATTCATCGAAATGTCGAAATCACCCTTCCGAACCGTCGGCACATGCGATTGACATGCCGTAATGTCGCGGTTGTAAAGTTGTATCCGTATGTATCTCAGATACCTATCAGATGCAAACCACCCAAAGCGGAGCTTCTGGGGACCGCTGGAGACCGCTGGAGACCGCTGGAGACCGCTGGATCCTCTAGAATAATCGACCCCAGAAAGAGCGGACCTGAAAATTTCGGAGCAGCCTCCCGAAAACGGCTTGGGCTGATATCGTGGGGATCGGCCCGAGTCGAGTTGCACGTTGCTACGGTAGCATGAGTTCCACCTTCCACGAGTTCCGTCATTTCCATGTGGATACAGATTCCAGACACCCGGTCCTGGGCTTTACATAGCCGAGCAAGCAGAAGAAAAAAATCAAAGAAGAAAATAGCGGAATATTAATCTCCGGGTTGACCAAAGCCCCAGCGAGGCGCAACCGGTTCGGGAATTGAGATCGTGCACGGGTTCATGAGCGTTGTGCAAGGTTGCAAGGGCAGGTGCAAGGACAGGCACAGAAAGAAAACAACAACAAGGACAGACAGAGGAGAGAAAGCGCAGGAGAAGATCATGATGGCGGTTGATGATAGTGGGCCGCATCCGCTGCGCTAGGGAAGGGAAAAAAAGGAAAGAAAGAATACGGCGGCTCTGGACTTTTTCACATTTCGACCTGCCCAGATCAGTGGATCGTGAATATCACAGAAACCGGCCCGCGGACAACCGGGCCCGAGTGCCAGCTGTCCGAAGTTCATCGGCCGTCGTATTATGTGGTGTAGCTCGTGTGAGTACTGGTACATGGCGAAAAGAATGGGAAAAGCAAAGAGAAATGATGAGAGGAAGAGGGCAACGAGACATGATGTGAAGGGAAGAGGCAAAGGCCAGCTGATAGTCGGTGACTTCCGGTTTGATTGACCTAAGGTTGAGAACTGAAGGATCTGTTACCAAGACTGTACTATGGCGAGGAAATCATCATGAAGTGATTATGGAAGTTAGGTGTCACGCAGCCCGGCACTCGAGACCGGCAGGAAGCCAAAACGAAGCAGACGTACCTGGAGCGATAGAGGTGACTGAACACTCAGGCCAGCAAAAGCCGTCACGATATCCAAGATGCTAAGTGCAACTGGCAGGAGGAAGACGGATGAGGAGAAAGATGGAGGACGGAGGGGATGTTGGAGGAGGAGTGGCGTAGAGGACGAGGTTGGGGGAAGTGACATTATGATGGAAGAGTTGCAGAATTGGGCGAACGAGGAAGGAAGAGACAACTTGAACCAACTGAAAACTTGACAAAAAATCTGACGATGGGTTCAAGGTCGCGCCTGCCATCTTCGCTGGTTAGCATCACCATCTAAATGACTGAAGCCTTGAAGGGAGGCAAGAACGGTTTTTGCACCTGCCTTGTGATGAAGTCTATGTATCTTAGTGGTAGCTGTGACGAACATCAGAGGTACTGTTGAGTTCCCTTGAGCACCAGCATCGTGACTGTCTCAAGAGCACACCACCAACCCTTCCAGTTGTATCAGCCAAGATAATTCCCACAGTGAAGTAAAAGCAAAGTAAATACAACCAAACCACCCTCATCGTCCACCTGAGGCAATGTCGACATTTGTCCCCTCTAGTATCCGTCTTGCAAGAGTCCAACAAAGTAAACAACAATCATCAACATGGAAGTGGAAGAAGGGAGAGAAAAGTTAATGACTGCACACACATCTTCCATATCGTAATAATACAAATCCAACAACGCCCACCCTGCCCTTTTTTTCCATCCATCCATGCGTTGTTCCGATAAACCGAAAACAGAGAGGAAGAAGAGAAAAGCATCCTCTATGAAGAAAATGCCATCTATAAAAGCAAAACCGAAACCGTCCAAACACCTAGCCGTGCCATGCTATGTTCCGCTATGCTGAGCAAGTAGCCGACCGAAAGAAACGCCCTTCGTGAAAGTGAAAGGCCACCGTGAAGAAAGGTGTCGTAGAGAAGAAAGCCACGGGCAAAAGCCGGGACGACGCTGTCTCATGTCGTGGTCATGTCGTCCGCCGCCATCGTCTTAGTCGATTGCTCACAAGAACAAACCGACCCACGCCGTCTTGAAACTGACATCAGTCGTGCAATCGTCCACCGCGCAAAGGACCTTCAAGTTCTTGGCTGCTGCGCCGCCGTTGGAACTAGAACCAGCCGCGCCCGACGCAGAGGACCCCTGATCCTTGTGTTTAAAGCCCGTGTTCTTTGTGCACTTGCGGTTTTCGTAGCATTTCTTGCAGTAGACCTGTTCGTTATTGTTGTCGTTAGTTAACTTCACCAGCTTGGGGAGGAAGGGAAAGGGCATGTAAGGGGAAAGAACATACATGACCACACTCCTTCACAGCCCAAAAGAAATGTTCCTCCCGATCCTTCTTCGTCCTCGCCTTCTTCGGTGCCGGCCCTCCTTTTTGATCTTCCTCATCAGGATCATAAGCCAACTCCTCCTCACAACTCGGACAAACCACTGCCAGATCCTCTCCCGTAGCACGTGTAAACCCTTCCCTAGCCGGTGGCGGCGCATTGGCGTTCCTCTGTTGCTCTGCCGCAGCAGCAGCAGCCGCCGCCGCAGCCGCCGCACCTCCGTTTCGTCCGTTGTTGCCGTAGTCGAGATGTGGTAGGTTCCTCCCCAGCGGGTTGTTGTTCGCGTCCAGGCCAATAAGTTGAACTTCGAGGTCGGGTCGGACGTTGGCGAAAGCTCCCAGGCGGAAGAGCTGGAAGAAATTGTCAAAGGCGCCGCCTAGACCACCACCGCCGCCTGCGCGCGCGGCTCTACCGGCGGCTGGGGGACGGGCGGCGGCGTTACGTGCTGCCGAGCGGTGAGCGGCACGGGCAACGGCGTCATCGTCGTCGGAATCGACTTCGCCTAGGTCAACGATGAGTTCATTGGCGGTGGGGCGGCGGTTCACGGGCCTGCGGCTACGTTCAATATTGCCTTCGCGGTGAGGGAGAGGGCGGTTGCGGGCGTGACCGGCAGGTGGGACAGCTGGGGCGGGGTCGTCATCGTCCAGCGTAAGGTCGATGACCTCGGCGATTCCGTTGCCAGCTTGGGCAGGAGCGCCGGCGCCGTTGGCGTTGGCGGACATTGCGCGGCGTGCTGCTCGTGTTGCGGGGTTGTTACGGCGATTGTTTATAGTTCGACCTCCAGTTCGTCCGGGAAGCGCAGCGGGCTCGGCGTCAGAATCTTCCAAATCTGAGGTCAAGTCGATGACAAGTTGCGCTTGTTGGTATTGTTGTTGCGCGGGGTTGTGGTTGTTATTGGCGGCAGCGGGAGTGCGCCTGCCTGCCCGCCGGCCAGCATTGCCGCCCTGGCCCGGCCATCCTACTTCCATCTCGACTAGTTCGTCCAGTTCGTTGGGGTTTTGTCCTCGCGGGGCTGCTGCTCCTTCACCCAAACCTGAAACACCTCCCCCACCTTGTTGCTGTTGAGCACGGCGACGGTCAAGCAGAGCCGGCACGCGATACGGGTGGTGACGATTTTGTTGGCGGGGGTTGTCCTCTCCGGCAATCGATTCGAACCGGCGACGCGCCTCAGCCAGTCCTTGCACAAACAGCTGGCGGCGTTGCTCTAACTCGTCGAGACGCGCCTCGATACGCGCGCTGGCTTCGAAGATGTCAAACTGTTCGCGCAGACGGCGGTCGAGAGAGGAATCAGAATCGTTGCCGCTTTCGTCGCTAGAGGTGTCGTCGCTGTCTTCGTCCTCGTCTTCTTCGTTGTCGTCGTTTTCGCTGTCTTGGTCTGTATCTGACGGGAAGCCGCTGCTGTCGAGGTCGAGGCTGTTGTCGCTATTGTCGGAGTAGTCGTGGAAGCCGGGAATGTCGAGACCGGAGTCGTGGTCAAAGTCGTAGGGAAGGTCGAGGTCGATGTCAAATCCAGGGTCGGCGTCGACCAGGCTAGATTCGCTAGATGACGGAGACTGTGGGGAATGTGGGCTCTGGAGATGGCGGGGCGACAGCGGACCGCCAATGTTGTAGTGATCTTCTTCTTCTCCTTCTTCTTCTTCTTCGAGATCGAGCGGGAGGTCGCGGTAATCAAAGTGAATGGAAGAGCTGTGGTCGTCGTCAATGTCCAGCTCGATGTCGTTGTCCAGATTGTAGTCCCAGTCAAACTCGGCAAGTTCGCCGTGGTCGTCTTCACTGTTGTCGAGACTCAGGTCGATGTCAATGTCACTGCTGTCGTTGTCGTTGTCGTTGTCCAGGTGGTCTTCGTAATGGTCCTCGAATTCCCCTTCGCCCTCGGCGACAAGCTGTTCAACCTGGTACAAGAAATCGCCCTCGTCACCAAACCAGTCATCCGCCGCGTCCATAGTGACGGGGGGAGATGGAAGGAGGGAGTAGGTGATTCAAATGCCAAGTCGCGGTGCAGTGTCGGTGTTCGGTGGGTGAATGGCTTGTTTACTGCCGCTGCTCACAGTCGCCTCCGCGCATTCCACCAACTGGAAGACTAGTGTGGTCCCCCTTGCCGCTGGTGATGAACGACCAGGAAGAAGCCGAACCACCCCGTTGGATGCAGGGCAGAGTTCTCCCCAGATTCCGAGGATTTGAGTGCTGAAAAGAAAGTGTAACTGAATGAGAAGGGACTCAAACGTCCAATTAGTCCGTATGCTGGACGGTGATCAGGCACAAGGTCAGGGTTGAAGGAGAGCTGTCTGCAGCCTCGGGGTGGTGGCAAACGCAGCTTGCTCAGCTTGGTCAGCAAATGAGCGAATAGCGTGTTGTTGTTTGTTGTTGGTGGCCGAGCGGATAGAAGATGAGAGTCAACCGTCACCGTGATCGATGAAAAGAACTCGATCAACAAAGGAAGGAAGCGTTCGATATTTTGTGATAGTACCGACTGAAAAGGCGTGACCAAGAATTCTTCTCAACTATTTTTAATGAGGTGGTTGAGGGAAGCCGTTCTGTTATGGCAACCACAGGGGAAGTCGTTTGTTGTGTTTGGTCACACAATCGACGAGGGGTTCCATTGCCCACCAAATTGCTCGCTAGCGTCGTGTACATTAGCTATTAAACAGTCCCAAGGCGCCATCACCATGCTATGTGCTTGTACTTTCCTTGATCTTTCAATAGAGGAAGATTATACCTTCTTCCAAGGTACAATGTCATTCTTCGACGTCTCAGTTGGTATCTTTTATGAGTTCTAGATTTGACGTTGACTAACAAGTGGAGGGACGTAAACTATAACCAAACCTAGATTGGTGTAGCTCTGCTAGTACGTTATTGCTGTTCCCACACTCAAGCGCCTTGTTAATTGCCAAGACTTTGATGAACTGGCCACAACAACCGGTCAAACACACACACACATCGTAAAATATTACCTTTTTACTCGATTTCTATACAGAATTAAAGCGCCACACAACCTCTTTCATTGTGCAAAGTAAATAAAGCAATTATATTCTATCAATCAATTCTATTAATCAATTAAACTATTACAATAATACCTCCCAAATCGATTTTAAAATAGAACTAGAAGCGGACTCGTCGTACTAGCGTTACTTCGGTCTACTTTAACGAAAATTGGGGTTTGAATCTAATACGTACTTCTACCTGCCCTATAAAAAATGATCGTACTCTTATTGAATCTAAAGTTATTGCTAATTTATCTAAGAAGGTTGCCCTTAAGAAGGCCGCCCCTAAGAAGGCTCCTAAGAAGGCTACCCCCAAAAAGAAGGCTACTCTTAAGAAGGCCGCCCCTAAGAATAAAAAGAAAGGGAAGGCGCCCGCTCTAAAACTAAAACCTTCTCTAAAACCTAAAACCGAAGCTGAAATTACCCTTATACCCTCCTCCCCACCTATATAGCTAGCCTCTATCGAATTTTCTAATAATAATAATAAAAATAACGGCGATAAAGAGAAGGAAGAGGAAAAAGAGGAATAATAATTCCTTAATTTCCTAGTCCGCTTTATCCTTAAAAAGAAAGCTATTAATATATTATTCTACGTTTTTAATAATAACAACGAAAATGCAGTATTCCTAACCCTAGCCTAATTGCGTACTTATAAACAAATTGTACTACCTCCCAAGCCTACTCTCCCTTCTTATATTTAAATAGAGTTTGTAATTATAGGGTTATATTTTATTACCTTCAAAATTAAGCCCCCCGCTATTCCTAACTGTAAAAATCATTAAAAAATTAAAGTCGAACAAGAGAATAGTAAAATATATAAGTAGTAATTTAAAACAACCTTATTTAAGGAAGTTCTCTATTTATAAATAAGGTATACCCAAAAGACTACTACTAATACGGCCGCCGCTAAAGTTAGGCACTAAATTACTTTTTATAGTATTATATATACCGCTAGTATTTATAAAAATAATAGGAAGAATAAAATTATAATTTATATAAAGATTATTATAACCACTTAATTTAATAATAGTAATTATAATTTTAATAACGAGGGTATTATAAAGGTATACTTTTATAATAATATTATTTAATACTATACTTTTACGCTCGCTTTTACTTTCTATTTCTTTTATCCGCCCGCTATAATACTAATACCTATCTTTATTATTAATTTAATTACTAATTTGATTATTAGTATACCTTCTATCTCTACCCCTTCTCGTAGTATAACTAATTTCTTTATAATTACTATATTATAATTATTATACGCGTCTATTACCCCTAAATGTAATATGAGGAGAAAGAATATAATTAATATAATATTAGAGGAAATTGATAAATTTAACGAATAAGACCGCGAGCGAAAGGTATGCGGGGAGTGTAAATCTTGCGGCACTGTATATTATAAGCTTTTTTAAACGTAAAAATATAATACTAAGTACAATTATAAGAATTATAATAAGGCAATTAACTACTAAATATATTACTTCGTTAATAGTAGTAAAATATATTATAACCTCTCTATTAAAAACGCGGGTAAATAAGTAAAAATTATCGCGGCTAAATATATTACCGTACAAAATCCTCCTATATTAATTATGTAAAGGATAATTATAATAAAGACCGCCGCGGTTAATACTAATTCGAATAGTGGGAAACGTAGTAGTAATAGGCTCCTAATATATATTAATATTATTAATAACGTTAATAGTAATAATAATAATAGTAGTATAAAATTTATTAATAATCTTTTGTAAATAATATTAAGAAGGAAGGAGAGGCTACTAGTGCTATACTACCCCCTATATTAACTATACCTATACCTACTATATTAATTAATATATTACCTTCTATATAGTTACCCTTATTACTTAATTATCTTACCGCCTCTTCCTCTTTCCTCTATTATAATTACTTCTACTATTACTATACCGGTACCGGATACTATAATAACCCCACTAAACGCCGCCTTAAATGCGCCGTTTAATTATTAAATTACTATATTCTATAATTACCCTACTAATTGCAATATATTAACTACTAGATATAACTCTCTTCTACTCTTATTTATTATATTTATACGGGTATCCTCCATTTTATTTTTAATTATATTTATAATACCTCTATTAATTATACTACCCTTTATTACTAACGAGGATAAATCCCCTTTAACTCCCTCCTCCCTATTATTACCCCCGCTACGTAACTGTACCCTAAGCGAACTTATTATTAAATTCTTTAAAACTTTCTACCGGAAATATTATTTTAGGAAGATTGTAGTAATAATATAAGTATTGCAGGCTCTAATTGTACTACGAAAGATATTTAGAAGACTAAGCGCCCCCGTTATAAATATTATAGCGTTTAGGGATTAGCTAATTGAATAGTTTATAAAGCTAGGCTTTACAATAGAATTCTATAATTCGTTAAAGAATAATATTAAAACATTTCTCAAGTAAAAGTAATTAATAATTGCCTAAGTAGGTAGCTTCTATAATATACCTTCTACTTTCTAATTAATAGATTTAGTTAACTATCATTATTATGTACTAAACTTCTAATACGGCTTTATAATATAATTGATTAATATTATTACCTTCGAATTTAGCGTTACGAAAGTATTTACCTCTCTAGCGGGTAGTATTACCGCTAGCGGTTATAGCATACGAAACGAATTATAGTAAAAGAAATAGACTATTTTAATTATAAGGGGGGATTCTATATATTTCTAGCACTTTTATACACTCTTTTTATTATTATATAAATAAATACTAGTATTCTATTTAGTATTTCTAGTATTTCTAGTATTTCTAGCACTTCTAGTACCCTTTTTTATTATTATATAAATAAATATACTTTTAATACTTCTAATACTTTTAGTATTTCTAGTATTTGTAATATTTCTAATATTTCTAATACTAGATTATAATATAAATTATATATTACCCCCTATATTACCTAATCACCCTCCTTATCTACCCTCGTCTAATGACGTTACTAATCTTTTTAAATTCTTTCGTTAACTAATATATAGAATTGCGTAATTTTTATTAATATTATTAATACCCTCTATAATTAATTTAGCGATCTTAAAGTAGCTACGGATCTATTATACTCTATACCTAATACTTTCAATAATTCAACGGAGGAAAATAAAGAAATCTTTATTAACTATCCTATCGCTACCCTCGTCGTTATATACCCGCTTTATATACTTCTTAAAATTAATAAAATACGCCTCAATCGGGTTAAATTTTAAGGAATATAATAATAAATACCAAAGTAATATACTTACGCTTATATACGTATAGTAAAATTTATTATGTAAATACTAATTCGCATTATCTATTATTAAAATACTATTATAATTAGGAAAGAGATTTATTATAGGGAGGAAGTAATCTCTTAACTATTTAACAAACCTTAGGGCATTTATGTATCCTTTAAAGACTAACATTTCAAATACGCCGTCAACTAATATAGCTAAAAAAAAAAATATAATACTATTTACTACGCTCAAAGTAATTCGATATTATTATAATAATACCGCGAAGAGCCAAACCAATACAATAAGCTCTATCGCGTCGATCTATACCAAACTCATTGCAAAAAACGAACATCTCTATAATAAATAACAATATTTTCATTATTTACTCTACTACTAACTTAGGCTCCTATTATACTGTTTTAAATACGAAGAAGACGGCCTCCGAACGTTAAATCGCAAGTCCTTAGTCGACGTCAATACTAAAATTCATTTCGATGATGGTATTGTATTTAGTACGTCCGATTACCCTCTCCTACGATAGCGTATCGTACGTACGACGAAGGCGCGGGTATTAGTAGTATTGAAAGCGTTCGTAGTAGTTTAGCGAATAGTTAATACGCGCCGGAAAACTCTATTTATATTGCGGCCAACAACGGTAAAACTGCCCGCCCAACGGAAAAAAGACGCCCGGCTATAAATAAACCGATAAAAGAAGAAATAAACTAATATATATTAATTTTTACTAAAAAAACCAACCTCTCCAAAATAACTAACGAATAAAAAACGTAAGCTTTATACTACTTCGTAACCGTTATAGAAATTCTACGGAAATTTGAACTTTGCGAAATCCATACCAATTTAGCTGACGTAAAAGCTAAAATTATAATAATAATAAAAATGAACGTACTTAATACGGGTAAACCCTCCTACGCTTTAATTATTATTAGCCCAAAATGAAGTAACTTTATTACTACTTC